CCCAGCCTATCGCTCAGCAGACGCCCCCTTCCAATCATCCGTACCGACTACGCCAGCCGCATAAAAACGGAGAAACTCCCACTTCTCCGCTCTGAAGCCTTGCAGAGAATCGTCTGGAGGAATCGTTTTCGTCTACTCACGCTACTCGGCGCGTCCCTGGCGTCCTCCGTCTGGCTGCTTGTGGTCTGCTCCTCCTCCGCGTCCCTGCACTGGCCTGCTCCTCCTCCGCGTCCCTGCACTGGTCTGCTCCTCCTCCGCGTCCCTGCACCTGCTGGGGTTCGCATATCTCCACTGCTCTCCTCCTCTGCGGGCTCTTTCTGCGGGCTGCTCCGCGGGGCCCTCCGCGGGTTCTGTGCTGCTCGTTCCTCGTGGTCTGCTGCCGCACGCAGAAGGTCTGGCGGTGCTGTGCGTGTCCCTGCCTCGATTGGCGGTGCCGCGTTGTCCCGTTGCTTTTCCCAAGTCTCCTGGCATGTGAGTACAGTGAGCGTGCCGACCGCGGACGGATTAATCCCGGAGTTTTGGGCTGCAGGCGATTGGTTTTTGCCCCGCGCACTTGACTGCAGGCGTCAGTTTTTTCGCCCCGTGCTTGGTCTGCAGGCTCCGTTTTCGCATGTGTCTGAGCTAACCGAGGGGCAATGCATATTAAATGGCATCAATCTCTATCGTCTGTGGGATATACGAGGAGCTATGTGCATTAATTCAGATTCATGTTCTGCCACTTGCAGTAAAACCATGCATTTAAATAGCTAGGTCGTGCAGCAGAAAAAAAAAAAAGGGCCCAATGTGAATCTGCAATGGGTGCGAAGTGGTGTTGGAGCTAATGAACGCATGGATCAGTGATCGTTCATGCGTATCTGCCATAACCAAAGCAGCAAGATGGCTCCGGGGACGTCTGTTATTCGCATGGGATGTTTCGGACTCGGGTTGATTTATTTCCTCAGGCTCTTAAACAACCATGGGCATGGTTCTCTGACCGCCGCTGCTGCCGGTCCCCGCTGCCGTTCCTACTGATGCCTGATCCCGCTGCCGCTGTTCCTGCTGCCGCTGTTCCTGCTGCTGTCTGTCCCTGCTGCCTGCTCCTGCTGCTCCTACTACTACATGTGCCGCTGCTGCTGTTCCTGCCGCTGCCGCTCCGCGGGCTCCCAGGCTGCACCTGTCTCTACGGCTCGGCTCTTTCAGACACGTACGTAACCTGGCTCACGGAGACAAGCGGCGCACGCTGGCGTGACACGTCTGTTGTTCGTATGAATCGCATTGTGGTGCTGCTGCTCCCGCTAAATGCTGCGTCTGCTGCTTCATACTGCTACCGCTACTGCTGTTACTGCTGCCGCTGCTGCTTCATACTGCTACTGCTGCCGTGCTGCTGCTGCTTCATGTACTTTGACATCTCTCCTCACTTCGCTTCTCTTACTGAAACACTAAACAGCTACAACATATTCTACTGCTGTGGCTTTGATACAGGATTTTTGCCGTTATTATCTGAGGTTACTGCGGCTGCCGCTGCTGCTACTGCTGCTGCTACTGCTGCAACCCACTCTCTCAGAAGCTTATCCTGCTTCTAATGGATGCAGCCCGGCCGAGTATGCCGCGCTGCGCTGGACTCGCACCTATGCTCCCAGGGTCGCTTCGGCGGTCATGCTTCATCTCTACTTAATCTTCTGATTCTATCAGATGCAGCTGGCCGAGTAGCTGCGCTGAGCCGTCAATCGGACTCCTAATCAAAGGCATCCATACCTGTATTCTTCGCTCTTCTGATCGCAGGCTCCCCATCATGCTGCCCATCCTGCAGCGGCTCTGAACTCCGGCTCATCTTCCAAGTACATGTCTGCCCTCCTCGCAGCATCTTCCTGCTCGCCTTCTATGGCTTCTCTGCATAAGCGTTTCAATACTGCTCACTCAACCTTCATGCGGTCCGAGACACGGCTTTTCCCGACCATCCTACTATCCTGATTATCTACTCTCCAACCCAAGATTCTAAGCGTGAGGGCGCCTGCAACTTCATGGCCCTCTCCGATACGTCTCTGCCCCTACAGGTCTCCGCTTCTACACGGACGTGCCCCTTCCGTGGGTTTTGGGGTTTTTTTTCCAGGACCATTGGGTTGCCGGGCCGTGGCCGCTACTTTCCACCGGAGCATCTCCTCTGCCCTACACGAGCACACCTCTCTGCAACAGCTGGGGCGCTGGTCCTCTTCGGCTTTCTCCGCCTACATCAGGCCAGACGCGTCCGCTATCCTGGCTGCACAACGTCTACTGGCTTCCTCGTAAGCTCCCAGCAAAGCAATACGAAGCAAAGTAAGTGAAGCAATAAGATTCTGGTGGCGGCACGCACTTCTCAAACACTCTCCGCTGCCGCAGCGTCTGACGGAACGTGATGCATTACACTCGCCTCCGCTCTCGGAAAGGAGATCTCAACGGACCGTTATTTCTCAACCCCGATCACCTCCCAATGTCATCCAACTGGTTCAGAGCCCAACCAAAGTCCGTACTGCTGCTTTGTAACCTGTCTCCCCATCTCTACACAGCTCACTCCTTCCGGATAGGCGCCGCCAGCAGCCGAGTATCCGCAAGTTTGATCACAGTAGATAGCGGTCACAGCATATAGCGATAGCGGTCACAGCATATAGCGATAGCGGTCACAGCATATAGCGATAGCGGTCACAGCATATAGCAAAAAATGGTTAGCAGCATTGCGCTGGCGGTCACAGCATATAGCGATAGCGGTCACAGCATATAGTGATAGCGGTCACAGCATATAGCGATAGCGGTCACAGCATATAGCGATAGCGGTCACAGCATATAGCGATAGCGGTCACAGCATAGCGATAGCGGTCACAGCTTAGCGATAGCGGTCACAGAATAGAGTAGTCACGACGTCTGTCCCCTCCAAACCAGGCTTCGAAAACTCCATCAACACGCAGCCTTTTTGGGGATTGTGCGCGCTCCATCGCAGGAGCCTTTCCGATCTGAAGGCCGCACCGGGGCCTAGGGCGCCAAACCTCCTTTCATAAAATACTCAAAAACTTCCTGTTTTCTCGTCTCTCCAAATTGAAATGCAGCCAGCGAAAATTCAATTTGGTAGACGTTAACCAAAATTACCCCCTCCAGGCCGGCTCGCATCCCCAGCCTATCGCACAGCAAACGCCCCCTTCCAATCATCCGTACCGACTACGCCAGCCGCATAAAAACGGAGAAACTCCCACTTCTCCGCTCTGAAGCCTTGCAACCACCGCCTCCCCTCCTCCTCCTCTTCACCCTGCCTCCAATCTGCCTTCAATCTGCTTCCCGCTGCCAAATGCCGCCACCAGTGCCTAGGTCCCGGGGGATTGTGCGCGCTCCATCGCAGGAGCCTTTCCGATCTGAAGGCCGCACCGGGGCCTAGGGCGCCAAACCTCCTTTCATAAAATACTCAAAAACTTCCTGTTTTCTCGTCTCTCCAAATTGAAATACGCAAAGGCGCTTAGTAACTGAAGTGATAGTACGCATTTCTGATATTTGTACCTGCATACCACTTATGGGCACCCCTGCCTATATTTTCATATATAATGGTGCACTGGATAACAAGGCATATGGTTGAAATTAAAGGCTTTTATGTGCGCCCATGGGTCAAAAAATACGATAAATGATTATTTGTTTCTGCTACTGTGTTCATCATCAGGTCAACCACTCAGGAGCAGTTTGGGTTTGGGTCAGGACCAGGATTTCACTTCAGGTGAAAGATGGCTCACAATACGCAGCCAGACAGTGACGAGGTGGTATGGCCATAATGTATAGATTACTGCTCGAGTTCAAAATAACTAATCCTTAAACCCACACAGAGGCAGAACAAGCTACACAAGTTCAAAAAGTCCTTGTTGTTTGTTAAGCACAATCACACAGATATAAGATGATGCATTCGAGAAACAGGTCAATTGTATTTTACTTTTTGGACATTGTAACGTAAAATATATTTATAAAAAAGTACTTGATTATATACACTGTTCAATGTGTAATATAAATAAGGACATACATGTTTAGGGAAACATAATGCCAACAATTTGACCACAACACAAAAATAAAGCAGTTGGATATAGACCCAGATTCCAGAGTCCAGCCGCAAAACAACCATCAGACTTGTACATTAGAGATCGACCGATATGTGTCTTTTGAGGTCGATGCAGGTTTTTATCCAAGTTTAACGGGGCCATGTCTGAATTTAAATGTTTTCTCAAAGTCTGCACATAAAAGGTGAGGTAGGGGCTAATGCTATTACGCTAGTTATAGGACATTTTTCAATTAATTTCAAAATGCCTTTATGGATATTGGTGGAATAAGTTTATGTTAAATAAGGAGAAAAAAGATATCTAGTGATGTATTTGTGTTTTTTCTCTTTTGCATTTGTGTTTTTTTTTTGTGTATTTACTTTTTCTTAATTTACTCGAACTATTAGTTTTATTGAATATAGGTTTGGATATTCTTGTGAACAAAAATAGTGCAGATAGGTTTGGATTGAAACAGAAGTGTACTGTCGACTGATTTACAGATTCTTTCAAAAGTTTTTAAATAATTATTTTGGCATTATTGTTTGGAGTATAATAAATAATGTGGTTGTTTCCCACAGAATATTACTTAAATAAATAAATATAACATGCTATGGTAACATAATGGCCGGATCTGAAGAAGTTAGTGCCAATATCTAAAACAAAAAACGACTCAATATATCCGTCAATCTCGATCATACATACAACAATATAACAATTGAAAAGATTCAGGTTTTGAATACAACAAAAATATAAGACATTCATAACCTCATAATTCAGAAAGATCTACCAATGTCACTGGTAAAAACAAATTCCAGAATCATGAAAGAAATATTCCTCTAATTAAATAGAAGCTCTTTCAATGAAAATATGAAAACTCCGCAGCTGCAAGGTGACTACTCTTCAAATAAAAACGACACAGAAATTAAACAGCACAAAGTTGACTTCAATGTCAAGTTAGAAGAGCAACGCTTCGTAATGTTACTACACCAGCTCTCCACGTAGTTCAAACGGAAGCTGGGAGTATTCTGGGGCCTGGCGGAGTGTCTTTGGCTGAAAGAGATTAAGAGTGTGTTACGGCGCTGATGAAAGGTAAAGGCTCACTTTATAAGCAAATTCACGGCATTAAACGCTTCAAATGATGCATCAATTCACAAGTAAGTGCTTTTCACACACCGGAGGGAGGCCGGACGCTTTCAGTGCGTGTCTTTGATGAGGCAATCGCCGGTCAAGAGGAGGAGGAGGAGGAAGAGGAGGCTGAGGGAGGGGTGAAGAAGGTAGGTCCTGGTAGAAGCCCCTCACCTCTTCGTACAAATGGCTGTGGGTGTCTATGGGAGAACAAACAATAATAATAATAATATCAATTAATCTAAATGAATTAGTTTACCTCAATTTTTACAACTCAAAGTGCTTCACATTCACAACATCTAAAACCAAAAGTCAGCTAATTAAAACACACACAAAATGCCAGTGAAAGCAGCGGTGATGAGTCATAGGCGCTTTTCAGCCTAGACTAAAATATAGCCAGGGTAGCGGCCTGTCTCACTCTTTCAGGAAGACAGTCCCTGTGCTCCTCAAAATCCAAGTTGGTTCATATGGCAGTAACAAGTAATAGACATACTTTAGCCATACTGAGGCCATGGAGAGACTTGTAATCAAGCAGAGCTGCTTTAAAGTCTATTCTCTGAACCACAGGAAGCCAGTGCAGAGACCTGAGGACTGGACTAAGGTGATAGTTCTTCCTGGTTCTACTCATTACTCGAGCTGCAGCTTTGTGAATATATGAATACTTGACTTTAGTTGGGAAGATTATTCCAGAAAATAGGTGACAGAGGCCTTTTGTAAACTATTCTATTGTATTGTTTGACATTTCAAATTCTAATTCACTGAACATAGTGACATTCAGTTTCATCTGTAAAGAGCACGTTATATTATAACATATCTGTCAGCAGAACAGTAGTTCAGATTTTTGCTTAAGGCAATCACACATATTTATTTGAGTTTCACACACGTTCAGGTGCTAAAGCATAAATCATTGCTTTTCTGCAGCACTGTTAAAAGCGGCATGATTCCAGTTAAGTTTCGCCAACTAAATATTACAGCAAAACACTTGGGACGGTTTATTGATCCTGAGAACCACATACACGTCCCAATACTTACATTTCTAATACTAGCTTGGCTTTTCCCTGTGCTCTAAAATACATCCCTTTCCATTGTCCCATAAGGATCCAGCTTACGTGGTTACATTCGACTCAACCACATTAGAATTGTTGTGTGCACCAGCTCTTCAAATAGACTGGTTTTCACACCCCAATGCCTCATTAGCAAATTAAATGGGTTTTCCCTAGTGCTTAGTAAACTTGGTAATACTCCAGCATATCCTAAACCCATATCCTTAAAGCATATCCTCAAAGTGAGCTGGCATGTGTCTGCCCGTGTCCTCACCCGGCCTGTGGACTTCCTCCGGCAGTGTGTGGACAGGAGGTCTGTAATCAACAGTTGGGTAGTAATAATGAGGCTTTTCCTGAATGAGCAAAACACAGAAGAATGCAGCAAGTTAGTTTGGACACGAAGAGAAATGACAAAGTATTGTAAGTGAACTGTAAGAGCCCCGACAGTGTTAGCTTGGTTACTGAAGAGACTTTGAGTGTCCAAAGAAATTGCTAAATAAAACCGATTCATTATTATTATTAACATTTCTACAAACATTCACACGTGCATTTATAGCTCAAACCCCCCCCCTGAAATGCATAATGACAGCCAATGGCTGTCACTAAATCTGTTTGATTTGTTCATTTGACTTTTGGGCACAACCCACATGAACTTTTATTGCAATGGAAAATTTAGGTTCCCAAGCTTTAATTTAGCGAGTTTAGTAGAAAACATTGATGTTGCATGGTAACAGATAGAAAAGGACATTGTTGCATTTTAAATACGTATACTTTAGAGTTTTTAACCATCATTCATCCAAAACAGACCAGCAGTTGTTTTTGGATCCATTCACAATAATATTAGGAAATTCCAGCACAAACATGTAACTCTTCTGTCTAAAAGCCCCTGTCACACCATAGAATAATCTGTAGCAGTAGAAACAAAGATGACATCACACTAAACAACCAAACATGCATTCGTTTTGCCCTCAAGTGAAATTACGTTCTTTACTCTAACCTGTATTATTTATTTATTGTTTATTTGGTTTGGACAGTACATATTAATGAACACATCACTCCAGATTGTAGCCATGGGCGAATTTTCATCCGTTGTCCCACATTCGCACCCACAAACACACACTCATTCACCCTGAACTAATGTACATGTAATTAGTGGTAGGGGAAACCGGAGTACACAGAGGAAACCTACCCAGATACCGGGAGAACATGCAAACTACACTCAGAGAGGCCCTGTTCTGACCGGGATTCAAACCCAGAACCTTCTTGCTGAGAAGTGAGAGTGCTATCCACTCATCAACCGTGCTGCCCACCTAAAACTCCCTCTAGAGGTAGCAGAGGGATAGGGCAGGCCTGAAGCAACACCCTTCATACTTCTTTCATCAGACGTCAGACATAGATCATAATCATATATTTGCTACTGAAGACATTATTTCACATTCTAAAACATGAAAGAAAATAGTGTCATTATCATTTATAAGGACCAAAAATAACGCATAATATTTCCTCTTTAAGACTTAACTGTAAGACTTGTAGGACCCTGTAGAAACCCTGGTTTACATCAAAGTGTGAGCAAAAGGAAAGATACAGAAAGAAAGAATGAAAGAGGACTCTCGGGTGGATTCTGTTTGATATGAATAACTCTATATCAGGCACAATAAAGCCCAACTCAGCGGAGATTCAACATTTCATTATTATTCACTTTCTATGTGCTTCCAATTCCCCCACTCAACAGATTTCTTCAGGTTCAAATCCTTGTTGGCCCTTTTAAAGTACAAAATGATAATTCCTCCGCGGATCAATGTATATTTTGAATGCTAATTGTGAAGTATTGATCCCTTTTTCATGGCATGAACAGCCAGGGCTTTCATTAGATTATGCATCCATTTAGCTCAATACTGCAGATTTTTCCTATCCCTTCATGCCAGATCTCTTTAACCCATCCATAACCCCTTTCCTCTTTTTATCTATTCTGGCTCTCCTTACGCACACCACCTGACCAAAAAGAAAAGAAAAGTTGTCACAAACTCTTAGTAATCTGTTGGAGACTATATTCCAACCAGTGTTGCCCTTCATAAGAACAAAATCTTGTCCTGAGAATGGGAGAGGCCGCACAAAGCCTCACAAATCTCAAAGATTCTCAATAGGGTAAGACGAATATCTCGACCAGCCACGTCGAACACCTGACATCGTTTTTAATTTTTACAATTAACTTACTGCACAGTATATTAAATACTAATAATACTTTTAAAGCTACGTGTCTGAAGAAAGCAGCCACACCATTCATTTCATTTTAATTATTGAACTCAAATATTAACCATAGTTTAATTAAAATCTTGACTTTCAGACTGCGACACCTCTGATTTAGACAAACTGTATGGATCTGCAAGCTCACATATGTAAACGAGTTCAAAGAAATATAAATATTAAGTGTCAGAAAGGAAGCCCTTGCATGCTGCTCTGCACAGCGTCTTGCTCTGACTGCTGCGGCAAAAATGCACAAGAAAACTTTTTTCTGGAAGTGCGCCTGTTTTCCATCGGGTCAAACCCCTGTTCACTCACAACAAAGACCAGGAGAAGAATGTTCTCATTTACAAAGTAAAATCAGTCCTTGTTGACTTTATATAGATCAGATTACTCCCAGTGGTGGTGATATTCACACTCTCACCCAAATGTCACTCAAACCAGGAGAGCACTTTACACATGGACTTTGAGAAAAGGGTACATTGTACAATTTTACATTGTAAATTTCCTATAGGAGAAGATTCTGATTTATGAAACTCTGGGCAATCATCCAGCCCACTTCACACCTCCAGTTCACTATATGAGAACAGGCCCCCAACTCTCGTTCACCATTTTCATAGTGACCATATGAATGAGATTTAAATATACATTTGGCTCAGAGGGAGGGGCTCACTGCAGACATAAGGAGGTGGACAGAGAAGGATGCCTGAATGCATGTTTTTAGTTTGACAAGGTTTTGCGCGCACAGAGGGTCCAACCTCAGTTTTAAATGTTCACAAAAGTGTGTTCCTCTAATGCAAGTCAAGCACTTCTTTCATAAATCACAGACTTAAATCGATGATAGAATCAATACACACTTTTTGCCTGTTTTATGCTTATGTGAGCTTTGTCATTAAGACACTTCATCACAGAGTCTGGTCTGGTGTGGGTAAATGACCTGGGCTTTTGGGCTGAAAAACCTGTTCTTTTCAGTGGGAGTGAGCCTTTAGAGTTGAAGTTGGCTAGATGACACTTAAAAGTACCTCAATGACTACTTTGCTTAGTGGAAGAGGGCCACATGAAATGACACAGGGGCCTGCATTTTGCCCTCAGGTAGTTTGAACATGCCTGGTATTGAAGCTATAATATGGTGTTGAATCTGGCCTTCGTAAAATGGACAAACGCAAGAGAAAATATTCAAGTGATAAGGTCTTTAAAGGTCACGGCGACTTCAGTCATGTCTCTGTTGTTTGGACTAGCTAACACCTGGGTTGGTGTCTTTGTTGTGATGCATATTGTGACAGAAAATGCTTGCTCTGTCTTCATTCTGTCTGAAAAAAGGCCTTTCTGCTTAAGATCCCGTCTAAAGTCTCATAATTTTTTGTCATGGGACAATATGGGATCAATAGAAGATTGTAGAGAAATTAAGACAGAGGCAGTGCTCATGACCTTCTGTTCATTTTCCAGTTTTTTCCAGATAGAAGTGAAGTAGACAAGGCTTTTTGTATGATGTCTTATCAACGTGCATAAGGACAGAGACGTCATCCCTTGAGATATGAATGACGTCGATGCTTAAGATACGGATAATAGTCGTGGATGTGGATCAGAACAAAAACATACGTTGCGCCCTTGAGATAATAATGTTCAGTAACAATACAGATATGTCACTCTTTGAATCAGGTCTCACGAGGTTTTAAAAAAGTAACGCCACACTGGTCTTTTTTGTATACAGTAGAAGCCTTTTGGAACAATGCCATAGTGAATGCTGTAATCAAAGCCGTCTTCCATAACCAAAACATTTGAGCGTGTGTCAACTTCTTTTTCAGACTGACACTGTTCTTTCTGAGTGCCCCCCCCCCCCCCCCACTCCGCCTCCCGCCCCCCTCCTCTCTCACCACTGCGCAGCTTTCATACAAGTTGCTGTCGGTCTCTGATCCCGAGTCCACGAGGAGCGTGCGCTGGGCCGCCTTGTTGATCTTCTCACTGCTTTCATATTTATTGCTCGCAGTCGACTGAACAGACCTGCAGGGTGAAATCAGTCTGTCATTCTCGCTCGTGTTTTGATAACAATCATAATGCAATAATAATTCTTCAACCTCTCCCATCACATCATCTGGTGTATTTGTTTATTGCTCCCATTGTGGTGCGAGTTTAATGGCACTCATATAAATTGAAATTGACAGGAGCTTGTAGTTTGGCCTGCTTGGCTCTTTTAGCGGCCGGTGAACAGCCAATGGATCATGTCGCGGGCTTCTCAGAGTGGATTGGATATGTCTCTTTATTACTTCCATACTGCAGTGCTTTAACTTACCCCTCCTCTTCTTTGGCTGCTCCATTGGGCACGCTGCCTTCCACACCCCCTGCAGAGTGAGCAGAAACATGGGGAAGTTGGCTCAGACTGTGGAGATTGGGGCCAGAACAGAATCTCCAGAACACTGCAAATGAGCAGTGTAATGAAAAGGCAGAGGGAGCGGCAGCCAGACGAGGAAAAGGTGAAACTTGAAACGTTTTTTAAATTTGAGAGAGTTGTGATCAGTCAAAGTACTGGGATGATAGTACTGTAAGTAAAGGGTTAAGTAATCTTTGTACACAATAAGTAGCTTTTATTGTTGAACTTACTTGAATAAATAAAGGGGAAATTTAGGTAAGATAGAAAATAACTGGATTACAGAATTAACATGAATTCAAATGGTTTTTTGTATTTGATGAGTTTGTAAGAAATATGTTTTCCGGGACCCAGATGTGTACGTGTGTATGTACGTTCATAGATCTGGAATTGTTCTGCTATTGTCTTCTCTGTGTTGAATGAGTGAAGTAAGCAGCTTAAAATCAATCATCAATCTTGAAGCTATAAATCAGGGGTGTCATCAAACTCATTTTGGTCAGGGACCGATTGAAAAAATAAATATATACGGTGTTCAGGGGCTGGTTAAAAGTGGTTTTCTTGTTGGAGAGGGAAACCTTTTTTACATTATGAAGTAATTTTCACAAAAGGGTTACCTAAGGAGTAAGTTTGGATCAGTTTGTTCTGATTGACTGGACATAAAACTGGAGCAAAGGTGCAGAAGTCTTGTACTTGTAGACTGATATGCCAATGAGTGATACCTGATTACATCTTGGGTTCAAATACTAGAAGACATTAAGTGATATGCTTGTGTCTTGATAAACAATAGCCTTAAAATGAGGTATACCATGCTATGGCAGTCATAACGTAATATCATCAATGCTACGTTTATCTTAATGATTGAAAATCAGTTCAGGGGCCTTGTGTTTGACACATGTGATATATATAGTAACCAAAAATGTCCCTGAACTTTTGAACATTGCAGCATGTTAAAAAAAAAAAAAAACAGAAAAGATGAGAAAACAGACTGTGAATGAAAGCAGAAGTGGCTGTTGGAATCAAACGCAAATGAAAAGTGACAAAGGCAAAGATGGAGGACGGCTGCGCGGCAGGCAAATGAGATAAAAGATATGTAGAAAAGAGTGAAGCGACAGATGTGAGCGATGAATGTGACAGGAGGAAGGCAGTTCAGGCTGTGAGACCAAAGAGACGCGACAGGGCAGACGGATGGAACCGCGTGGAAAGGGAGAGACAATTGCATCATGGTCGGCCGGTAATCTCTTTAGAGTTTTGTTGAAGGATCAGGACATTATTGGAGCAGGCAGTGATAGAGGGAACGCTCGCGCCGCACATAGATTAAAAGCTCATTACCTGCGTGACCTTGTTGCTTTCTTCGCTTCAGTCCAAAAAAGCAGCCGAGAGAATTTACGAGCAGCAAAACTCCGAAAACCACTGTGAAGACCACTGTGAGGTATGTGGACAAGGCGCCTGAAGCTGCGGGCCATAAACACACATTATACAATAGCAGGGCTGCATTCACAATATCGGAGGCCCAAGGCTATACTCTTTATCCTCCAAGTCTGCGTAACACAATTACATAACAAAGAATAAGAGAAGATATTTGTCACACTCTGGGAGAAGCTTGTTCAAAGGCAAGGATCAGTAGGAATAAGGAAGCACAGGATAAACATAGGTAAATATGAATCGATCTCAAATCTGTCCATACAATCACAAAATTATACATGTATCTGAAATGATGATATCTTATTGGTCATATTCAAGATCTATCTATCTTTTTTATTTTTTTTTCAATTGAAAAACTGAAAACAGGAAACTAAACAATAGACGAAACACTCTCTTCAAGCTCTGCTGCGTGTCCCGGAGAGAGGCGAGAATCTGACAAATCATTGTCTCGTATTTCAGTTAAGGACATGAGCAGAAGACCAATGCATAAAAAAACTATTTGCACAAAGCAAGCCAATGGATTGAATGAATATCATGAGGGACATTTGATATAGATCAAAATGTGCAATGTGCAACTGTGATTAATTGCAAGTTCATCACGATTAGATATTTTATTCTATATAATAATGGAGTAAAACTGCAGGTGAATGGCTCATGTGCAGTGAATAACCATCTGATAGAAAATATAATAATATCAAATAATAATAATAATAATAATAACACTTCTCTAGAAGGCTCCTTCTGGTGCCGTTATCCGGCCCGAACATAAGTAATAATACAGAGCTAAGCACTTTCTCTCTTTAGTCTGTATTGATTAAGAACAAGGGATGAGCTAATTGTGGGCACCATGACAACCACTGCCCTCAATAAGCAAACATTTTGAAAAGTGCTGCATGTGTGTGTGCCAAGCCGAGCTACAGTGCAAACAGTCATTTCCCCTTAAGAGGTTTTTTTGTTGGCAACGTGTGATAGGACTCTTACTGTGAGCTTCCTCTTCAGCGGGAGCACCCATTTCTGTAAAATCTAAAGAGAGACAGAAAAGAGAACAAATGGAAATGGAACACTGTTTTGCATTATAAGATTATGCTAAGTACAGAAAGGGAAATTACGACTGTGTTCAAATGTCCAGCCTATTCCCTAACCCCTTTATTTACAATACGATATCGCCTTGCACTCATTAGTGGACTGTGTAAGTGCACTCAGGCACGTGGCCAATCCGATCACTGGTTTCTTCTCACCAGTGAAACAGAAAAAAAAAAAGACCAAAATTATTCAGCAAAGCAGCTCTTCTATCTGCTTTCTTTCAGTCGTGGTGTATCCAGTTGAACCCTTTAATGTTTTCTAAGTTGCGAGGGCACCAATGACAAAAACAAATTAGAAAGAGATAAAGGTCCGAGGTGAAATCCTTTCTTGTGGCAGGGACATAGCGACATGTTTCGACCACTCTCTGGTCTTCATCAAGTCACTTGCCTTCACGCCGCTATATGTCCCTGCCAAAATAAAGGATTTTTTAAAGCTAAGTCAGATTACCTTAGATCTTTCCCTCTTTGTTTTCTACAATATTTCCCCACAGATCCTGACTACTCACGTTAACCCTGTATTATATTTAGCACTCACTCCTCTTGTGTTTAAAAGAAATATTTGTTATTTTTATATTTTCGTATTTATTAGGGATGTAAAAAACTATGCATTTTCATGACCGACCACCGAGCCTCATTAACCGGTTGAAACCGGTTAACCGCGTAGTTTAAAATATTCCACGTTCTTTGAAATGGCAGCCATTTCGAGCCGCGTACTTTTCATAAGTTTATCTATGCGTTCTACTAGATCAGAGCTGAGACAGCGGCGCCAAAACCCGCAACAGCTTCGGCACCTTTGCGCACAGAGAACTGCTTTTTTAATCTTCCCATTCTGCTGTGCTGCGGGTTAACCCTTTAGGCGCCAGAGTTTTGACGGCTTGTTCACATGGTCAGAGCAGCGAGTTACACGCCGCGTCTCGCAGGTCTCCGCTAAAGTTTAAAAGTGATGTGTGTGGATCTGATCTAATGACAAGGACCAGCAGCACAAACATGTTTCATGTGTTTGACTGGGGCCGCGTATTGCGAGGATTATTTGGGCTGCGAGACACAGAGGTGCGCGACAGCCCGGTATGTGTGTGTGTACAATACATGTATGTATGTGTGTGTAAATATAAGCTCCAATGTAGTTCTGACCTGCACTAGTGTGGAACTTTGGCGGTAACAGAGGGGAGAGATGATGCGTGTGGATGTTACGTATGGAGGGGGGGAAAGTGTTTGTGCGTGTGTGTGTGAGTGTGTGTGTGTGCGCGCGCGCGTGCGTGGCTGCGTGCATATGTGGAGCGTGCGCCATGAAAGTCGCCCGTAGTCTACTAATGCATTGGCGCACACAGCTAGATACGGACCCGCTCGTCACATCGTACAAATAGGGCTTATTAATAGCCTTATTAAGAGACCTCCCCTCTCCGCTTTTTCTTATTTTTAACCGACAGCTTTGACCGGTTAACGCTGTGACGGTCAACCACCGGTTAAACGGTCACCGATTTACATCCCTAGTATTTATTATTATTATCCTTATTTTCTCTGTATTTATCTCCCTTTATATGAAGAAATAAAACCTTATAAAAACCCCAAGTTTTATTTTTATTATAGGAATTATATAGCTTGATGGTAAAAGTGCTTCAAACTTAGTGATAGAGATTTCCCGATGAGGTAGATTTCCGTTCAAAGCTAGTAGTAGATATAGTGACTCAAAAAGTGATCCACCAAATGGGTTAAACAGCTCTTCTTTATGAATTTGTTCTATTTTCTAGTCGCATCCAGACCTTGTTATCTTGCAATGCCCTAAATGGGAATAGTGTGGACATTGTGAGCCTCAGTAGAGTTAGACCCAGCTGACCCAAGGTGGTGACGGTGAGTACTGCATCATTGTCCGCGTATCCACTCTCCCCGATGGCGTTGATGGCATTGACTGAGAAGTTGTAGGTGGTCGCAGGGAGCAGACCGGTCACCGTAAAACTGGCTTCACCTGTCGGAACCACGTCCACATACCGGAAACTGGAGGATCCGTCCCACTGGTATCTGACAATGACAAGTTAGAGTAACAAACTATACTTGACTTTGTTCCATATTCAAGAAAAACAGTCACAGCACAGATATGTTGGAACAGAGAGGCACCGATCCAGCTTGTGTAAGTCCGATATCGATCTTGATACTTTCGCTCTAAATATCTGCTGATATTTTACATGTACCGATACTAGTGGAGGAAAATAAGTGTATTTTTCTCATCTCATATCACAGCTAATTTGTAACAATGTGCATTTATCCTGCAAGTAACAAAAGATTCTGGGTCAGTAAATAGTCTTATCATTTATTAAAATCAAATTCAAGTCAAATGTCTTATTCAAACCATTAATCAGGCATTCAAACCTGATTAATGTCGCATAAACTGTAGGCTGTAAGTGTAATCCTAATGTAGCACGCCCTGGCTAACACTACGTCTACCTAACTCTACGTTTGTGAAAAGAGGCATCTAATGCATTGTAGAGAATAATAGGGATGCTAGGAATTTTTCTTATGATAAGGAATATGCTTTGACTCATGAAACTCGTTTAAAAGAGACATACTTTGCAAAATCTTCAGAGTTTTTGACTATTTTACCACAGTGTTCCCTAGTCAAAACAGGCTTGGAGTTGTTGGATCAGTGACCTATGCAACAAACAATCCCCTTCTGTCTAAATCTGGCACACTGTGAAGAATTCTTACTCTGTCATTTGAACACAACAATTAGTTTTGGCAATTTCTCAAGTAAAATCATCAATCTTTGCGTGCTACAAATACAGCCGGGTCAGCTCCTGAATATCTCCTACGGGGGATCATTAATAAAGTATCTATCTATCTATCTATCCATCTATCTATTTATCTATTTATCTATGTTCTTGTACAGTAGCCATTCATTGTGGTCACCCGTTCCTTGTATGTGACTCATTTGTGGAATGAAGTGCCCGGTCTGCGACACTGTGGCTTGAAAACCCAGTTCCAGACGGCCTTCTTCCCTCCATCCTTCCCCTCACACTCAGTTTCACGTACTGTGCAGACCAGATAACATCACAAGAACAAAGTCGCGAGAAACACAAAAGTAGACTACTGGGTTCAACCCCCACAACACGCCGTCTTCATCTTACTAGAGAACATGTTATATATTACAGACTTGTAAGAAAAAGTTCTGTGTGTAACTGACTCTTTGAGCTGAGAGCGGATTGGAGTCAGGGTGGTTCTCTCTTTGTTTCTTAACACTTGTTTATGTGTTGCTTATTTGGCAAACTCTTTCTACCCTACTGTTGTGAAAAGACACTTCTAAAAGACAGTTGATATGTGAAGTCTAAGTTTTACACAACACGTTACCATCGTTGGTATATGAGAATATGTATAATGTTTCATCTTTGAATTGTCACAGTTGTAAAAGGGGTTAGGCAGTATAAGTCTCAACATCAGCTTCAACCCCTCTCTGTCAGACATTATTGAACAATCTTTACATACATGATTTAATTCTTTGACCTTTGCAAACCTAAGATCAATTGTTCAAAATGACCGAAGAAATCAACTACGACTACTATGGAACTATAGATTATATAGCAGTTATTATTTGGTTTGCAACAGTGGCTCAGTTGGTAGAGCATTGGCCTTTTTGGGCCTGAAAGTCTTGGGTTCAAGCCCACCAGGATACCTACTTCGCGACTCTCACTGATGTCTGCTGTGTCCTTGGGCAAGACACTTAACCCCACTTTGCCTAAAGCCCCCGCTGAAAGACCAAAGCAGCTCAGACTAGAGATATCCTCCTGTGAACTCATCACCTGCAGGAGGATCAGTGAGCTGTGACTGCCACCCCCTGACCCAGAAGTGGATTAAGGGGAAGAAAATATAAGATATTTTTCTTTGTGTATATCAAATCCTATATACTTTCACAGAGATAAATGAAAATAATGTCTTTTACCTTACACGAAACTTTTGAGGTAACCCGCCATCAAACCCAGGAATCCAATCCAAAGTGACAGCGTTGTGGGAGGCGCTGAGGAGGCGCAGATAGGAAGGAGCGTCTGGGTGATCTGAGAGAAGAGAAAAATACAGTGCGAAGTAAAAGGAGTGAAGGGACTGGTGGGGTTTTGTCAGAATACAGATGGAGAGCAGAAGCCATGCCTTGACAAGTGCCTGTTTAAAAAGCCTTCGGGTGCTTCAAGGTTAAGATGTGTGCTGCGAGATAATGGAGTGCTTATTTTAACAGTCTGTAAAATCACTGTCCGTTATTCCGGGAGCTCTCTACTGAAAACCTCCATCATGATTATAGGAATGACAAGCTACAGTCTGCGATATACAGACCATATATGGCATATATGCTGAGCTTCTAGGCGATACCGTATGTACCCTGATACATAGGCCACGCTATTACGGACCTCCATACAGGGCACTTTTAATTCAATATGATTTAATAATGATAATAATAATAATAATAATATTGCATTGGTTTTAAAAAGCGCTTTTTCAGGACACTCAAAGACGCTTCACATGTCATTATTCTTTTACTCCATACACAGTGGTGATGAAAATTGCTACTGTAGCCACAGCTGCCGTAGGGCACACTAACAGAAGCGAGGCAAGCTGTATGTGCGTAACGGCTGCTCCAACCACTACCAACTATTCACACACACCAGACTCATTCAAGGACATATGGGTGAAGTGTCTTGCCCCACTGTGGTACCTGGTCTTTTCCAGGTCTCCCTTCACAGTATTAACCAGGACCTACCCCACTTAGCTTCCAAGCTCTGATGGGATGAGGCATTCACCAGCAGTTGGCACCACACTTTTAACCCCTCCTCTAGTACTCCTCACAGCTTAACAAAAATATATCATTGGTGCATTTTATACGTCAGGATTATTATAATTATTGCAACAACACATCATCAGAAAGCTCAAACTAACCTGGCAGTTGAAAAAAACAACTGAATTGATCAAGCAAATTATATGACACTTAAAATAGGCAAAACAGATGTATGTTTAAAATGAGAGAAAGCAAAGATGCTGTCCTTAGCTCTGGGCAAAATCTTTGTTTACCAAGTACATATCCTTCATAAGATTCTAGGGCAAAAAGGTCAGCCATATTTGGATTGAGTTTCCTTCAAATAAGAGCTGTGCTACAAGAAACTATGTTCCTCTTGGCACTTGAATGATAAGGGAGCATACATAATATAATAACACAGTGTCAGATTAATTATGCATATTCTCAGCGCACAAAGAGAAGGAGGCAGAATACAGGATTGTGTTTTATGGAGCTCATAGCCAACATTTAACGCGTCCAATGCGAGCCGCAGGCCTGGAGTGAAACGGGCTGAGCTGATAATAGTGGAGGATGCAGTGGTCGCTTGAAGGCACAAAATGTTGAGCACACCGGCGAGCGTTATCTCAGAGCGAGGAGTGCTACGGGCTCGTGATAAGCTGCAGATAGCACACAGAAATAAGTTCCTTAAAGGCCTGACACTCAGGGCAACAGATCCACACTTTACTAAATCTGCGCCGTACAATGGCCCTCCCACACTAAGGTTATGTTACTGCAAAAGTGGAGAGAGCCAGAACATGTAAGCTCCAACACTAATGTTCTGAAATGCAGCCAAATCAGGACCAAGCACTGCTCCAGCTTGTGCGTTAAAGGAAGGAATGTTTCCAGTATTTTTATATTGTGTTGAATTATATTTTATGTCCCTGTAGGGAAAATTGTCCACTGTGTTTTGCCTATCCTCACAATGCCACAAGGGCCTCTGTCAGAACAGTACCCAGCGGCTGATGTTCAGCTTGGTTAGGATTATACTCAATTGTTTTTAGTGGGGCAACCAGAGTGCCCAGCTGAAACCTATGCAGACACTGGGAGTATATGCAAACTCCATTCAGAAAGGCCCTGCTCTGACCGGGAATCAACCCAGGACCTACTTGATAAGATAAGATAAGATGTGCTTTATTTATCTCACAGAGGAGAAATTTACATGTCACATTTAGCATGGATAGAACACTCAGATTGTGCAAAAGGAACAAATGTGCAAACATGTTACATGCAGGATATATGTACAATAAAAGTGACAATAATTATGTACAACAAAAGTGACAAGTGTCAATTGGAAACAGTGTCAATAGTAGTGCAGGTTTTCACACAGTGATCATTTAAAGTGACTTATTGTACACTCTGACAGCGGTGAGATTGCTGAGATTTATCAACATTCATGGACATTGGTCTCTCCTTATGGACCAATACATATGTGTTCTATATTTTTTGTGTCTTAACTGTTGATTCTCTGATCTGTGTTGGTGATTTCAATGGTTCTGTTAAGTCCTTCTGAGATGACTACTGTTGTGATTTAGGGTTATACAAGAATACACTGATTTGAATTTTACCGCAGTGTTGCTCTCAACATGACGGTAATTGAAGAAACCCTTTATGTTTTGACCGTAGACTGTATATATTAATGGACAGAGTCACGCCTATCTCTGCCGTTCTAACTAATGGGCCAAAAAATTTGCTCTACTGGAGCTATGCAAAATGGCCGCGAGTGGTCCCGCCCACAAGAAAATTGTGAAAAAACGCATCTGCGCATGCGTCAGCCGGCGCAGTTCCATTCATTTGAATGAGAGACTTCAAAAATTCACAGCAAGTAAACTAGACTGGTCCAAAAAAATTCACCCCCCTCAGCATTGACACACATGTAGAATGGAGCTTTGGGCCAAGAGCCAACTTTTGGTCCATCCTGTAAAGACGTTTTCCAGAGGTCTGCCTAATCCTTATTCCGGGTCCACCCCCATCGACCCGGGGTGGTACTGCAAGCATGTCAGCGCACATCATTTTGGCCACTTTTGAGCTGGGACCTGCACCCACTGGTTTTGACCAACTGTGAGGGGAATTCCTTCAATTATTCTCTGATTACCTCACTTTCAAACCACAATAAAAAAGTGTAAAAAACACCCAGCTAGTTAGTGGCTGTCAAAACAGTATAGCTCTATGTAGTTTCCTCATTATGTGATCTCACAATTAAGACATTTTACATTTTTCCCACAAAAAAGTGCAGAGGAGAACACTGTACTTGTGCTGACGAGCTGGATATCGAGGCGGTCGTCTCCTAGGGCGTTGCGCGCCGTGCAGCTGAAGATGGCGTAGTCCAGCAGTGCGCTCACGTTCACCACATGAACCGAGCTGGTGTGAAAGGAGCCCTCCCTTACGATCCTCTGCTCATACCTGAAGGGCCAAAAATACACACCAAATTGAGATACACACACACAAAATGTACTATTGCGAAACGAACCCTGCTCACACCTGCAGGGGCCAAGAATACACACACACACACACAAGACACAAAATGAGAGATTGTGATGTCCTGCAGATTGCACTAAGTCACCCAATTTTCCACATCAAAGAGGCATTAGCAGGTATTTGCATATAGAAAAGTGAAGAATGAAAGAAGGTGAACAAGATACGGAAAGTAAAGTAAGTAATCCTTATTTATATAGCGCCTTTCACAGAGCGTTTTTAAGCAATTTTTTTGTGAATAAAAGGGTTCTCTCTTACAAGCATACAAAACATAACATATTTTCTAATAAGACAAAGGTGGCATGTTGTGGTCTTATTTGTTCACACAATTTTTATTTTACTAGACTATTACAGCTTTAACACTAGGAACCTGAGAATTCTGAAAGTAAGTTTTGCCGGCTATTCTATCAATGGAATTCTACACATATAGGAATCCAGTACTACTGCAATTAAAGGTATATAGGCGATTCTCTTGAATGTTAGGAAAGAACTGCCCTCTCCACTCTTTGACACCTACTCAAACGTGCGCAAGAGACGTGCATGCTTCGCATGCAAGCTCTGTTTACAACTGTCCGCATCGCTCACTTTCAGCGCACAGTTATATGTGTCGACGGTAAACACTGTTTTATTCTTTACTATTGAATTATGAACATTAATGCTGTGATCAATTACAGGCATGAGGCCGTTAATCAACAGATCTAACAGACCTCTGATATAATAGAGGGGGATATTTCCTGCCTCAAATGTTATTGCAACTAACTTTTACGTCCTAATTAAAACGTTCGACAGCCTTACGTCATATATCACCAGAATGATTGACAATTAGGTGGACCAGTTATCAATCAATCAAATCTTTATTTGTAGAGCACATTTAAAACAGCCTAGGCTTACCAAAGTGCTGTACAGACAGCGAGAAAAAATAAATGAATAAAAATGAAAAACAATACAGAAATATGTATACACATAAAAAAATGTCTACCTGGTATTAAAAGCCAGAGAGAAAAGGTGTGTCTTAAGCAGGGATATAAAGTGCTGAAGTGATTGTGTGTGCAGTTCTAAAGTGCAAAAAGTTTCACAACTGCCTTTAGTCTTCAGCCTGGTCCTAGGGACCGACAAGAAGGTGCTGATCTGTAGAGTGCAGTGCTCTGGAGGGAAGGAGGGGCTGGAGGAGTTCATAAAAAATAAGAAGGTGCCGCTCTATTATAACTTTTAAAAACGATAATACGAATGTATTATGTTAATTTAGTTATTAAGGTGATTCACCCGGAATCACAGAATCCTCAAGTATAACTTTAAGTAATTCGGTTGGTTGTCTTTAACACATGCTAAAATTCGCAAATATAAAGGAAATATAGCAACATTTATTTCTAAAGGCTGCAAGTAAACAGTGTGTTGCTATGGTAACTAGCACTGGCTTGAAAGCTGAGGTTGCTTTGAACCAGTCGAGGATCGGGATAATTTCATAAATATAATGACATAACAAGTTAACTACAAATAGAAACAGGGTAAGTCACAAAGTAATAGAGGACCACAAACGTACATAAACTGAGCAATCACATTTTCCAAAACGAAAAGCCGCCAAATTGACTGCCCTGGGATTCTAGTGTTTTGTAGATTCTAGTTTTGACCAGGAAATGTTGCATCACCGGTTTCAGAGCAGTAGGAATGAGGAGCACACAAAACAAGATCAATTAACATGAACTCTTTACTAAAATAAAACAATATCTCTAACTTTAGCATAAAAAAGAAGCAAGGTCCAACTGAAATAAGCAAATACAAAATACTGACGACAGATGATGATGCGCCGCTCACCTTGGGTTTTTGAAGTCCATGAGCATGTGGTTTTTCTCCCAGATGAAATCCACCTGTGGAATCCCCTCGGCCCGACACACCAGCTCAGCGGTGCTCGTGCCGTCGCCTCTGCTCGCTACCTTCGTCCACTGAGGGCCCTTCTGAAGCTCGGGGCCAACTGCCAACACAAGTACAAACAGTGGCACTGTGTGAAAGCTCCAGAGCAGTTAGTCAGTCATTTCTGTCAGGGGCCAAAAAACGACAATTACAGGTGGGCAAACCCTTTTTTTTTGGCAATATAATGTTTACTTTGTGGAAAGTTGGTTTGAAACTTAATGTGCATCACTAGTTACAGAACAGTAAGAATTAGATGCACACAGCACAAGGTGAGTGAATAATATATATTATAAGAAAATAAAATCTCCAACTCTGGCATTATAAAGAAGCAACTTTAGCATGATAAAACATCTTAAGTTATGGTGATAATTATGTCAAAATATATTATTATTGTTAATAATAATAACATTGTATTCTTTCTGGCAGATATTACCCCTACAAAAAATGCTTTGGACTGAGCCAAAATCTAACATAAGGCTGTGTTCTTATCAGGATATTTTGGGTCCATGATGATTCATGGTGAAATCTCCAAACCACCTTGTAATTGTTCAAAACTGAATGTCATTTTTCATTTGTTCATAAAATTGCAAATGTCTCTGTACATATCTCAAGTGCCTCAGGTATCTTTACAAACGTGCAATAGTCTGGAGTCAGAACAATGAGCTCTCCTTTAACACATTTAACATTATTTTTGTCGTAGCGTAAGCCAATTTCTGCAGAATCATCTGTTCCATTGTCAAAATCAGTCAAGAGCAAAAACCAAATATGAATATTTGACAGACTGTCCCACAGACTGTCAAAATAGAACTTGACTAATGAAGGAGAAGCTTCCCACATCACAGTGATCACTCTTATATGAACAGACGTGACATGGCAGGTGCTGTCTGATCATGAATGATCATATACAACATGTAAATACTGTAGAGCCGAAACATGTGCAGTATGAACTCAATGAACAAAAGCAAGTTTTGCTCCTGAGGATGAGGAGGAGGAGGATGAGGAGGAACGAGATGGCCAGCCACCAATAAATGTGTCATGTCCATGTTTTGGAGTTTTCAATATTGCAGACTGATATAGATTGTATCTATATTTATGATTTAACCGCAATTCATTATTTGAGTTTAATGTTTAAAAATAAAATGAGTAATTTGGTTGGTCAATGTTTTCAATATTGCAGACTGATATAGATTGTATCTATATTTATGATTTAACCGCAATTCATTATTTGAGTTTAATGTTTAAAAATAAAATGAGTAATTTGGTTGGTCAATGTATAAAGATAAATGGTGGTCTTATTAATCTTTTAAGATCAATGGCCATGATCAGTTAAGTTTAAAATAATGTCAGGAAGGCACAAAACATGTTTTCATTGGCCATATTTGGGAGAAACTGTAATCAGACCCTCGACCTTCTTGCAGTGACGCATGAGTGCTACCCACACCTCTGTCCTGGGTGCACTGGGGCACTACAACCACTAAAACTTACACAGATTGAGCTAAATAGTGCATTACAACAGAATTTGTTCTGTTAATTTAAATAAATAACATACCATTATTGACACAGTTTTAGGGAACATCCCTGGAAATATTGAGTGGATTCTTGATAGGAAGAGCGAGGGTCTTCCCCCTTAATGTCATTCATACACACATATACTGTACAGTAAGCGTATTAATGACAAAATACATGTGCGGTCATAAGGTAACTCACATTGAACTATGAGCTGCACATCTGCACTGCCAGGGGGCGCTATTCCATTATCAGCAGAGCACTGGTACAAGCCTGCGTGTGCTCTAGTCACGCCATGAATGGTCAACAGCCCCGATTCATCTTGCTGGATTTCCTCTCCCATCTCCACCTCCTCTTCTCCCTGTGGAAGACAGAGCGGTCAGGACTGAGCCTTGGACAGCAGCCATCCCTCACTCCCGCTCCCTTTTCCCCCCAAGTCAAGGGGCACCAGCGAAACAAGGGGCACAAGTGAGCGGCCGGACGTCATGGCTACAGGCGCCAATGAAAAGGGCAGGAAGGAGCACCGTTTGGGGACAGGGATAATACCACAGGTCCACAAAGAGGATTGTAGACATAGAAATACATGGAGGGGGGTTCAGGTGAAGAGAAAGACACTGCCAGAGGGCGGGTGAGAGCAGAGCAGCCATCAGTACTGGGACCTTTGACGAATGTGCCCTTTAGTCACACGGCTGTAATGAAAGCTATTTTTCTAGATTTGGTCCGAGCAGTGATCAGGGAAAGCTGGGGTGTAGAAGGAGTTACGCTGGTGAAATATGGAGCACCTCTGCATTTAGAGAGGTCAGTGATAAACGGAGAGAATGGATGAAATAATACAAAGGAAAACAGAAATATGATTCAGCGGATGGATGGTCCAGTCTGTGCGTGTGTACAGGGTCCCATCTCACATTGTCATTGTTAGAACTAGAAGAATAGTAATTGTGACCGTTTCTGGTGCAAAAATAATTCTCATTTCATCTATTGTTAATTAAGATGGTCACTGCATTATTCATATCCCGTTAAAGCTGGGTTGTCTATTTTTCAAATGACCTAACATGCAATAAAATCCATGTAACTGGTTAGTAGATTTGCTCTAGTTGAGTTCTACCCCTAGTTTTCACATAAATGTATTTAAATGAGCTTATTCTCACAGAAACCTGAAAACAAGAGGACTAATACAATAAAGAACAACAGGAGCTGGTTCCATCTACTTTAAGTGTTAATAAGTGTGTATAATGGGAACAGCACAACAGCCGGGAAACTTGGGCAGAATATTTTGCACAGATTTGGGACCAATCACAGAACGAGTATGTGCTGCAAAAAGAAGGAGACTCCCTATTGGACAGACTGAAGCTTGTAGTAAGTTTGCATATCTAGCAGATGGCAGCAATTGCGTAAACATCATTCACTTTCTTCGCTTCTTCCCTTCTCTCAAAATCTCCGTCACTCGTCATATATTGTTTGGTTAAATTTAAATGATTGGCGCATACGTGCAGATGCATATAAGATTGGCAATCGTAAATGGACGGTTCCCAGACTACATTTTCAATTGTGATACTCTGTCTAGTGTTGTTCTAAAACTATGATTATTGTAAAAAACAGATGTGAAATGGGTGGTATTCCTACTGGTGGTGTGTGTGAGTGGATATATTAGGCCTCACCAGCCATTTCCAGGAGAACATCTCTGATATAATGGGGTTAGCATCTGCCACACAAATCAAATCAGCCGTATCCCCGAGGTTCACGTACACAGGATCCCTCTCCGCCTTCACGCTGGGGGCATCTGTGAGAAAGGGAAGAGGACAGGGCCAAGGAACGAGCAAAGGTTAACATGCCAACGCCAGCCAAATCTGTGCTGGGCTGTTAAACAAGCCCGCTCATCGGAATAATTACTTCTATACAAAGGTGGCTCTAATTGGGTTTAAAATATTAACCCCTTTTGCATAATGGAAGACGCCTTTGTCAGAATGTACCAAAGTACGTTGTCTGATCTCTGACTAGTCTTTTGCGGAGAAGGTAGAAGGTAACTGTTATTCGTTACTTTTTTGAAGTAATGCGACTAAGGCTATATCCACACGAAGACAAAACGCTTATAATTTCAGAAACTTTTTCTGTAAACACGGAGTTAGCTCAGTAAATGTGTGCGTCCATATGAATGTAGTCAATACGCCTGAAAACGCTGTGAAACTATGCCAGACCTGTTGGTGGCGCTGTGACGCAATGACGGGATCAAGCCCAAACTTCCGTGGGCATGCGCGGAATTTTGTAAACAGACAACATGGCGAGTGGGCGAGCTGGTACTACATTAGTATGGACGGACGATGAGGTTGAACTGTTGCTTCGGGTCACACTGGATTACAAAACCAACAAGCTACATTGTTGTTGTCATTATTTTCTGAGTGCGGCGCATGCGTGCTTTAACAAGAGGCGGGGCGATGACGCAAGCGTCTCAGATACATTGCGGAGAGGCAGTAACCACGGAGCGGCATATACGGAGTTTTGAAATCTTTCCACTCTGGGACCTGGTTTCAAAAATGTTCGTTTACACCCCCCCAAAACGCCGGCCTCGTATGGACGATACACTGGATTGATAAAGTATTTTTGCGTTTAGGCCTGAGCTTGACTTCGTGTGGACAGGGCCTAACACTGTGCAAGACACACCTTGAAGGTATTTGTTTCTTCTATACCAGAGTGAGAAAGACGGAAGTAAGCCGTTGAAACCTGATAAGGTTATAACATTGCTGTCTTACATTTGTCTGTTAGAGTAGAACCAAATAACTTAATAACTCAAAAAGACAAGATGAATCTCCCTAAACAAAGACATGCCTTTTTCGAGAATGATGTGCAATATTGTAATAAGTCATTGTAAATGGATGATTTGGTGGAAAGTTCTATATTGTGATAATAATATTTGAAAATAATTATTTTTAAAATCTGTGATATGCAGATATTGGGCAGCATTGTGCATGGAGGACGTGATATTAACACATACAGTCCTCAATATTGAGATATCCAATCTAATAGATATACTGTATTACTCGGCGGCTACACCACCTTTGCTGCAGTGACCCCAAGTCATGTGGAATTTATTACTAATGCTAGCTACTTCTATGTAAGTATTTGTTTTGTATGGATGGATGTGTTTCTTCTACTGGACAGCTGAACCTCTCCTATGGGGGATCAATAAAGTATCTACAGTATCTATATATCTACTGTATATCATAATGAGCCACAAGAGTCGTGCATCATCATATCAGACAGACAGAAATACCTGTACATTACAGTATATCTACTTCAACTTCTACCTAATAATACTCTCGGTGCACAGCTCCTCTGCTTTCCCCTCTTCTAACATCTTTAGTCACCTCTACAAACTTTTAATACATCCCCAGTGCGCCATCTCGTTGGAACAATACGGCCATTAGTGCCCACTTGTCCAAAGCTATGCTCGCACTAGAAAAAAAACCACAAGAGGGACATCTGTGTGTTGGTGGACTCCTTACTATATTGACCTCTTAAACAAGGCCGACATTTTTAAGTGGGATCTGCTGCCACCCATAAAAGCTACTACAATTCTCCATCCATTATAAATATGTACAACTGTCAGGGCCAGTCAGATCAGGACAGTGGAATCCATTAGACATGTACTATGGGCTTTAGCGAAGCAGACAGACCTACATTCTCAACACTTCCATTATTAAATCATCAGTAAAGGAGTGGTGGACCAGGTGCTCCCGGCTGGGCCTGAGGCTGCTGTGTGGGTCCACAGCCGTGTGTGTGAGGCCTAATGAATGAAGCATGGGCCGAGTCAGTGCTGTGGATAGCTCGCCAGAATGTAGGCAGATTGTATATGGAAATGGAGAGAAACTTTGTACATATTTGTTGTTTTGTTGTTTTGTATATTATTTAATTGCATTGTATTAAGATAACATAAGATAACACAATGGAGAAATGTACATTTGGCATTTATAAAATCTCTCAGGTTGTGCAAAAAGAATAATGTTAAAGGTCAAAAATAGTCTCTCGTCTCCATAGTCTGCGTTTTTATATACTCAGTTTTTACACTCAAACTACCACTGGAGTGGCCTGGTCTTAGCCATCCACACACTCTGGTCAATCATCATTTCCCTGCATGTAACGTCTGGCTCTGGTCCCTGTGTTTGCGATTACATTGGCTGAATTCCATCCAACCAATCAGCGAGCGCGGGCGGCGGGTGTTGTAGTTATATGTGGGTGACGTAAAGGGTTTGCACCAGACCGGCCGGTGTAGCTTGGCAATGGCGAAGAATGAGATAGTAAAGTATTCTGTCCAGGTTCTATCAAGAAATTGCTGGAGCAAGAGAAATGTTTAGCAAATGTTATTGCTGGCAAAGATTGTGGTGCTACTCCCCACGGGCTCCGTTAGCGGCCAAGGAGATGGCTAGGCTAAATGCTAAATGCTAACAACTCACTCGGGCGCATTACATACGTCACGGTACACTCAGATCCAATCGTTTCAATCTGAAAAAGGAGTTAACCCCTCCCACCTGTTAATGAAGCTCAATGGAGCATCTTCAGACCTTAGTACAAAATGTAATTTGTACTATGGTGTGGTACGACCAGGTCACTACAGGAGACACAGCTGCCCTGGATTGAGAATTGTTTCCTGTCCTTCAAATTGGAAATTGGGGGAGTTATCTTTTCTGTTTCATAAATAGCACATGTAGTTTGCTCCAATGAATAGTAATATAAAAGAGAGTGATGTCCAAAATCTTCCTAAAAACAGATTACTGATGCAATCCACCTGCTGGGGTTTAGTTATAAATGATACATGACTATTATTTGTGCATCGTCTTTCATTTAAACAGATGTGTGGTGATATTTGTGTGAATGTTGTTACATATAATCTGCTTGAGAATCATAAACACAAATATCATGGACCTCACACCATTAGAAGAACTCCAGTTTTCGATGTTCAGAAAAGGCTCAATATGATTTGTACATGTGACCTGTTATCTGGAAATGTAATTTTGAGTTAAAATATGTCAATCTGTCTCTTTAAGGCAGAGTGTATTGCTCTGCACTCTGGCCCTGCCCCTTTTAAGCAACGTCAGCAGAAACAGGGCCACATCTACGACTCTGTACAAACTGCATATTAAGCTGGCAATCAGCGGATTTATTGCCTTACTTTAATCACAGATTCAGAAAAGAAAAATGAAATGTGTCAATGACGGTGGTCAGAGAAACCAAGGCGGACCCGGGGGAGCCAAACGCCAAGGTAAATCACTCTAAAACAACAGTGTGTAAATATCAAGGGATAACAACTATATTATCTCGTATTTTCATTATTGTTGTCATGGTGAGTGTGTGGAATCTTACACTGGACATCCAACAGGACTGTCGTGTGGCTCACCCCCTCCTCATTTGTACATTTGATTTTATAGGTTCCGGCATCCTTCCTGGTCACATTTTGGATCTCCAGGGTGAACTCATTTGGCCTGTAGAAGCGCACATTCCTCTCTGTGCAAAAACATTACACACACGCAGAGAGCAATGGTAAATTAAGCATTCATTACACGCTCATCAACTGCATGTCCTCTGGCCACTGGTCTCTAAGTGACATCTAATCCTGCATTATTGATTGGCTTGGCTGGGAGTCCCACATCAAGGCAACAATAGGCCGAGTGAGAGGCACCTCCTGCACTACACTGCTCCAACTTTAATACTGTACATGCAGGATATAGCAAATGTAGACAAATGTATGTATGATGAGAGCAAACATATTCAAAAAGATGCTTGGACTGCAGTGACACCAGCCTGGAGAGGAAGCCAGCTTTCCAATGTCTGTGTTGTATTCAGAGAGACAGCAATCCTCATTTAGACTGCATACATTAGAGCCATAATGAGAATCACATTTGGCAGGGTCCCATGACGGCTAACCTGCCATGTTTTATTCAGACCTGAATGGCAGAGCTGAGTGCTTACTTGCTGGCTCAGCTCAACAAGAAGCTGGTTTATAGAGCTATCAACCCAGCCCTAGATCACCTCTGACCAGCCTCTCCCTGTGGTGCTGCCAAACGCAGGAGACCTCCTCGGGGTTCGCCGAGACCAGCAGTGGGATGGTGGCCATCTCATCCTCCACCACCTGGATCCGTGTTGGCTGTTCTGGGCTGAACTCTGGCGGGTCTGACAGAGAAACACACATGCATTCATTTTATTCTTAAAAAAGATTTGTCTTCCGGAATTGGTCATCTGCCCCCTATGGACCAATACCAATGTGTTTTCTATCATTGCATTTAGTTTGATTCTCTGATCTGTGTTTTGTCAGTCCTCCAAAGTAACTATAGGGGGGACACATAAGGACATACCAACTGTCCTGGGACTACAGATTGAAAATAGCCTTTGGGCTAATTCTGGCATATTTACATGTATATTAATATGCACTGTCCCTTTAATAAAACAATAAACAAAATAAACTACTGTAATGATTTAAGGCTATACAAGAATAAAATGAATTGAATTCTGCTAGCTTAATAGTGATCATCTATAACACACAGGAATTCATATATAAATATAATATATTTAGCCCTGGTGCAAGCCTTTAGGATACCTACACTAACAACATTGCAATGATTTTTGATCACATTTAATACGTACAGGTGAAACGCAGAAAATGGCAACATAAAACCATTGGAGAGTTGCACATCACGGAACATTATGAACATGAGAACACAAACAATGAGGACATCAACAAACACGAACAGATTATTAGTCCACTCTAACACTCTAATTATTGTTTCGAGAGGTCGGTTATCAAGAAATAATGACCGGTAGAACGTTTTGAAATTACTTTCAAATCAATGGAGCGTTCTACTGCTGCTGTGAGGAGCTGTATAATGAAGTGACATAAATGTCTTTGTTTGTTATAATTATGATTATCGCTTACGGTCCATTTTCAAAGTATTCTGAATGTCTGATATATGTCACTTTGCAGGCACATTATAAGTTTTACCTATATATTTATATAACACAGGATTTCCATTTTTTAAAATGTTTCTTTCATTCTTTTCTCTTTTTGATTGAATTAAATCCTTTAAAAGCCAAAATTAAGTCAAAGTCACTGCTTGAGCCCACAAAACACAAAACTTATTTTTTTGCCCCTCTTTTCTAAGATGATGGGGTCTTTCCGCCCAGTGCCTTCTCAGAGCAGAGGTGTAGCGACACAAGCTCATTTTAGCATTTTAGAGTTGGTCAGTGAGTGAATAATGGTGCTTCCAGAAACCTCCAGGCGCGCCTTGAATCTCCAAGTTTGAAGTCTTATTAGAGCTCCACATGTGTGAACTCAAACACATACTGAATCTCCTCATCAGCCTGTTCACCTGAGCGTACAGTTTAAAAAAGCTGTCTTTTGACGTCCATCATCACACTGATCAGCTGTTGGGGTCTTTGGTGAGGTCAAGAGGCCGTTTTAGTTTGCTTAAAACTACTTTTTTGAGAAAATCAGATCAACAGTTGCCTTAAGGGGCATCACAGAACCGCCAACTCCCAACAGCAGAATGGAAACTAGTCATGGATCTATTACAAAACCTGGATAGGGTACTACTAGCTTATAGCTAGGGGTGGGAATCTCAGGGTACCTCAAGACACAATACGATATGCGATACAAAGCTCATGATAACGATAATATCACGATGTGACGATTATCAATACAATGGTCAGAAATATACTGTTATAGAAATCTTTTAGTAAAGCAATCTGAATAAACACGAAATAGTTATAAGTGTAAGTTATTAACTAATTCTCAACTCTGGATTCAAATACAGCACATGTAGTCTGTTGGCAGCAAGGTCAGATGATAGATGGAGATGTGTTTCTTTGGCAATATCTGGGTCATAGAACAATATGTTCAGGTCAAAGCAGATTATTACGAGATGCGTAATGTAGCCATATATATTAAGTATTGATATTAATAAAAAAATAATAGATACTTGGCAAAAGCATATCGATAATCGATCGCGTGAGAAAGTATCATGATACATCACCAATCCCCAATGCGCAGTCTGAGATCTCATTCCCTTGAAGAACTCCTTTAGATGAAGGACGAAACGTCGGGAAAACTTGCTAAGAAGTACAGATGATGGGTGAGAAACCTTCCTTTGCTTTGACTAATCCCTGTACAGTAATTGACCCACAGGTGCTCACCTTTTTCTCTGTTTTTCACAAATAAATTAAAGATTTAGAAGCATTTTCAGAAAAATCCTTCATTTTCAAAAAACTAAAATAAGACATGCATTTTTTTAGTGCAATACACCCTATTGTAAAACCCCTCAGATACATAAACTCCAAAAGGAAAGACATGGGAACACACACACATAAGGGATGTGACAAAGCAAGTATATGGAATATCACTGTCTATCTCCCTAAAAATTTGACAAATATTTTTTTCTCTCTCCAGAATATCAATAGTTAATCGAGGCCCGCTCATATCCATATTTGGCCCCGTCTGGTCTGTACTTTTGTATTTATGCATTGTCTATATTCCATATTTTGTCTTATGAATGTGTTTGTATTCTCCTGTCAATGTACTGAGAGTAGTGACTGTATGCAGACGCAAAAAAATTGAAGAAAAAACAATTTGAAGAGAAGAAACAGGAGACATGCTTGCCCCAAAGCTAAGACACTAATGAGGCCAACCCTAATATAAAGTTGACATCCCAGCTATAACTTTTGATGACCAACGAGTGGATGACAGAGTGGAAGCACAGGGACAAGCATTAAAACAACACCAGTGACAGTAGTGGCGTCCAACGCGGGCTCGCCACAAACGCACACTGACATTCCTCCATGCTTGCACACTGCTGCGCTCTTTGAAGCAGTGGTTGGCTGCTGCCTGTGAAACAGCATCAAAGCCAAACATGGCCGAGCAGCAAAGCAAACGCACAATTAGGACACACTGCCGCGGAGCTCTACGGACGCACGCAACAAAGGCTCCCAGTAAATAAAAAAAAACACACACACACACACACACATGATGCAGAGCAAGGAGGGTGTGCATAAATACAACCAACAAACTCATTGCAGCATTGAAGAGCATCATTATGCATCCTTTGTCTTAGTGTTTTGGCTGAAATAAAAAAGACGGAAAATGAAAAAGATGACCCTTAAAGTAGAAAAAATCCTCAATATTTTTCTCCATCAAAAGTGAGACTGCTTCTTGTCATTTCATGTTTCAGAATGTAAAACATAAATCTCTACAATAGATAAGAGGAAACAAGTATCAAGGGGGGAAAAGCTCTAAGCTTGCCCTACCCCTGTGCAACACCAGAGGGAGGAGCAGGTACAGGGGTAGATTTGTTTTTTGTTTTTCAAATTTGATTATTTTTCCAAATGATTTATAGCGTAACAATCTTCTTCAAGGATTATATTTTTTTCTATCCTCCATTTTTGGCAAAACACCAAAACAAAGAATGCATAATGAAAAGCTTTAGTGCTGCAATGATTATGACGGTTATTTGCTCTTTTAACATCAGGGCCTGGGGACTAAATATGAAAAAAGCCTCTTGGCTGATTCTAGGTTTTTCACTCATGTTTAATCATGTATTTTATTAAATTTAAATTATCCCTTTGAAATAAGTTAAACTAAACTGAATTGATTGTCCTTCCGAGGGGCAGGGGTGGCACGGTGGTTGCTGCTCCAGCCTCCCTGTTTTAGATAGAAGGGGCAGTTATATGTTTGTGCCAGAAGTTCCTCGTATAAGTGCGGATAGATAGCCTGTAAATCTGAAAAAACTCAGTAGAACAGGAAACTCCAAAATTTCTACTTGGATTTTGCCTAACCCTAACCCAATCACAGAATGGGGAGAGACAGCAAGACAATGATTTGGACAGATGGAAGCTTATAGTCTGTTCTCAGATCCAACATGACAGCAGCAGAAGCTATCTTTCCTCATGTTTCACTTGTACAAACGCCAAAGAACCATTCAACAACGTTGTGTAAACATCCTTCGACATATGTTATCGGGTACAAATTATATGTGCATATGATATGCAGATATATATGATTGGCATTTGTAGCGGCCAATAAACAGTTAGGAACAACTGCAAACCACAAGTGAGTAAAGCTTTTGATTTTTAGTGAGGAGTCAATTCGGCTATATTTATAATACGCCACAAAGAACAGGAGACTTACATCATACATGACATCACAACGGCAATACACTGACCCAATAACAAAATTAAACAAAGCCCTTACACTGTTATAAACTAACATTGGCACTAAATTAAACAGTCTTTTTAGTTTGCTTCTTTATTTTCAAAAAGATAGAGAACGTAATCCTACTTCTTACTATGCTGAAGTCAGATTTGTTGTACTTAATCCTTACTTCTTTTTCATGCTAAAGATAGAGATTTTATTGTATTTAGTATAGAGTTATTGGTCATGTATCTTGTGCTGTGTGCTTCTTATTTCTTCAGTTCGGTTCTACAACACTGAAATATACCTCTTAATGTTAATATCCGGTAATACAATGCCCTACACACACACACACGTACACAATGTACACTGGTACACTGACACACACTAAACCCCAAAATGCATTAAATCAATCAATCAACGTTTATTTATAGAGCGCCTTTCCTACACAAGGCAACGCAAAGCGCCTCACAACCCATATAACATCATGCATAAATCATCAAACATTAGAATTTAAGTAAACATAAAAGGACAGATTAAGAGCACAAGATATATAAAATCACACAAGTAGTTAAAAACCGTAAAACATTAAAATCACACAAGGGATTACAATCATAAATAATCATAAATAATCATAGCGCATTAAAAAGATTAAAGATAAAAACAAATATAAAATCATTCACTTGTATGCACAGCTAAAAAGAACTGTTTTCAGTTCAGTTTTAAAAACTGCTAGAGTAGACGCCTGTCTCACACTCTCGGAAAGACGGTTCCAGACTCTAGCTGCATGAATCTGAAACGCAGCCTCCCCATGTCTAGTTCCGACTCTTGGCACTAACAGAAGTCCAGTCCCTGTGCTCCTCAGAGCCCGAGTTGGTTCATATGGCACCAACATGTCGCGGATGTACCCTGGTGCGAGGCCATGGAGAGACTTGTACACAAGTAAAGCTACTTTAAAATCTATTCTCTGAGCCACAGGAAGCCAGTGCAGAGACCTGAGGACCGGACTAATGTGGTCGTACTTCCTGGTTCTAGTCAGGACTCGAGCTGCAGCATTTTGGATGTACTGCAGCTGTTTTACCGCTTGTTTAGAGAGACCTGTGAACAAGCCATTGCAGTAGTCCAATTGACTGGAGACAAATGCGTGGATAAGAATCTCCAAGTCTGCTTTAGACACAATGTTTTTAATTTTAGCAATGTTTCTTAGGTGGAAGTAAGCTGATGATGTCACAGATGATATGTGGCTATTGAAATTTAAGTCTGAGTCCATTATTACTCCTAGATTTCTGACCTGAGTTGAGGGTTTTAGGGAGAGAGACTGGAGGTGGCAGATAACGCTCTTTGTTTTTGAGGTCCAAAAACAATAATTTCAGTTTTTTCTGTGTTTAGCTGGAGAGAGTTATTTTGCATCCAATCACTGATTTGTTGGATACAGTGAAGGAGCGAGTCCACTGGTCCATGTTCTCCTGCTGTCAGGGACACATAGACCTGAGTATCGTCAGCATAATTGTGATAGGACACGTTATTACTGTGTATTAACCTACCCAGAGGCAGCATGTAAATATTAAACAGGAGAGGCCCCAGGATTGAGCCCTGTGGCACTCCGCAGGTTAGGGCCAGATGGTCTGAGATACAGTTTCCGATCTCCACAAAATACTTTCTGTCCTGTAGGTAGGATATAAACCAGCTTAGGGCTGTTCCAGAAACACCAACCCAGTCCTCAAGTCTCTGAATGAGGATACCATGATCGACAGTGTCGAAAGCAGCACTTAAATCTAACAGGATAAGAACTGAGACTTTTCCTGCGTCAGTGTTAAGTCTGATGTCATTTGTTACCTTCACTAGAGCGGTCTCTGTGCTGTGGTGGGGTCTAAAACCAGACTGGAACATATCAAAAGAGTGATTGATTATTAAAAATTCTGTAAGTTGTTGATAGACAACTTTTTCTAGAATTTTACCCATGAAAGGCAGATTTGAAATGGGCCGATAACTTTTAAGTGCCAAGGCATCCAGACTCCTCTTTTTTAGGAGGGGTCTGATGACTGCCGTTTTCAGGGCCATTGGGAATGTTCCAGATTCAAGAGACATATTTACTATATGCGTGAGTGAAGGTAAAAGACTGCTCAGAACAGATTTAAGAAATCTAGGAGGTAATACATCCAGGCTACATGTAGAAGAACTCAGACTTGTAATTATCATTTGGACAGTTTCATTTTGTACTGGTGTAAAGTGTGTCAGCCCAAAAAGCTTCACTGGCTGTTGGATTGTAATTTCTACTGTGGAGGTGATGGCATTTTTGATGCCTTGGACTTTGTCATTAAAAAACTCTGCAAACTCATTACATATGCAGCCCGCGAAAATTCAATTTGGTAGACGTTAACCAAATTTACCCCCTCCAGGCCGGCTGTCATCCCCAGCCTATCGCTCAGCAGACGCCCCTTCCAATCATCTGTACCGACTCGCAGCCGCATAAAAACGGAGCAACTCCCACTACCGGCCTCTGAAGCCTCGCAACCACCGCCTCCCCTCCTCCTCCTCTTTACCCTGCCTCCAACCTGCCTTCAATTTTCTTCCCGCTGCCAAATGCCGCCACCAGTGCCTAGGTCCCGGGGGATTGTGCGCGCTCATCGCAGGAGCCTTTCCGATCCGAAGGCCGCACCGGGGCCTAGGGCGCCAAACCTCCTTTCATAAAATACTCAACTTCCTGTTTCTCGTCTCTCCAAATTGAATTGGTTTTGGAGGTAAGCTCTGATGGCATCTTAACAGGGGGATTTGTCAAATTATTTACTGTTGAGAACAGAACGCGTAGATTGTTACTGCAACCTTCGATTGTTTCGGAAAAATAAGTTTCCCTCGTTCTACGTAGCACACTGTTGAACTTGCACAATGCATCTTTGAAGATCTCATGGTCAACTTGGAGATTTGACTTTCGCCACTTCCGCTCGGCTCTCCGGCACTCTCTCTTCTGTGCCCTGACAGAGTCTGCTTTTGTCCATGGCGCCTTTTGCTTATTTGTAACAATTTTGACCTTTACAGGAGCAATCGTGTCCAGAACATCCAAAACACTAGAGGTGACAGAGTTAAGTAATTCATCCACAGTAGAACACAACGTGTTATCAAAGTTTATCATCCCCATGAAACCAGATTAGATCCCCCCCACACACTATAATTTTTTCATGCCTTATTTGTATGAGAGTTATGTAAACATTACAAACAAAAAATCACAAAAACAAGCGAGTAGATAGATGTAAAAAAACAACTCCAGGTCTGTTTTTGATGAAGGAACAATGTTGTAATATGGTTAAAAGCTCAAAAAGTTGATTTGTGTAATACGTCTTCTTTAAATCAAATCTACTTACAGAGCACATGGAGCTGGAAGAAGGTCTTGGCCCCCTCAGGTAGCACGGCACTGTGCGACTGGCAAATTATCCTTTTATTGTGGAGCTGGGAACTTGCATTCAGTGACAGCAAACTGCTCACTGCAAAGCCCCCGTACTCGGCCTTTCTCTGAGGCCGATCCACCCCTTGGAACCTAGGACACAAGCCGCATCCAACAGCAATCTCATTACCAAACAAGGCAGGGTTCAATACGCAATCTTGTGCATTTGCATATTTAGCAGGATAACTATCAGACACTTCCAATAAGGGATGAGAGCGATTAGCCAAACCTGTGAGTGCCCAGTATCCAGGAGATATTGGATTGGGGATTGCTACTTCCAGAGAGGCACTGTAATGTGAAAGTCTGGCCACGGGAAAACTGGTCGGACTGAGCAGTGATTTTCATTGATATGGATGGAACTGAAAGGGAAAAGAAATTGTAGGTTAATCCATCTGTCAATTGGTTGTGGTCACATTCCAGAAAGCAATTGGGCGTCTCTTTACTCTCATTATCAATGGGCTTTACAAATGTTGTTCTCACAGCAAAATATTCTATATACTAAAAGTGATTACATTTTTATTACATTGAATACTGTGCTGTTATAGAAAGACTTGGCTTAGAATCCCAGGAGTGTGGATCATAGTAGAGCCACTATATACATATTATACTATATACTGCACCATACACTATATATACATTATTTTACAGGTTTATTTCTGTAAATCAAGCTAAAATAAGAAACCATTATATGAAATAACACAAATTGAGCACACATTTTTACTTTTAATCAAGATGGGCTTGGCTATTGTTTTTTGTTTTTTTCTGAACGAAAACAGTGTAGTTGTAGTTGGATTAAAACACAACTGTTGGAGAAATCTGGGGATTTTTGACTTTTTCAAATATGTAATCGTCACCAATTGCCTTTTCGCTTCAATCATGCTTGAGTTTTCCGATTCAAGCATACGTTAGATCCACTAATTCTCACTCTTACAGCTTCTTGATTGGATAAGATGTTCTAAAAGTTCTCCTCCAGCCAATCTTACTGGTGGGGGTTACATCAAGAGGCGTTGGAAAAAACATGGTCAAAAATATGCATTCTTATTCAAAACACAATTTAAGTTACAGAGATGCCATTTACAGTAAAATAAATGTGGTTGTTGAGAGACTAACATGCCATAGTGGCTCATACTAAGCCGCAAGACCTGGGTTTTGATTCCCATTGACTTTAAATAGGAGTCTGACAGGTGCTGAGAGGTTAATTAAATCATCAGTACTTGGATTTAGTTATTAGTTGTGTGGCTCGAGACACAAAATATGATGTGTCGCAATATGAAAGTTTTGGCACATGAGTTTTAGATAATATCATATTTTCAGTTCTATTCATCAGAGTTCCCCAATTTGCACATAAAGTTAGTGTTAGAATGTATTTTCGTCATTTTAAATGCAGCTTGGACATATTCTAAATATTTTCCAAGATGATTTGATGTGATAGTCCAGTAATCACAATGAAAACAATTGCGGCATCCCTTAATGTTTCAGTGTACTGTATCAGGGGTTTTGTTGTGATGTCACATGAACTCAACCCATTGTCATACAGTAGTTTGTTTTTCGCAACTCACACAAAACCTGAAGCCTGGTTTGGGCAGAAATGGTCATCTGTGCTTCATTCGTGGCCTCGCAGCGATACTCTGCCATATTATCGCTCGCAGACAGGACAACAGAGAGCTCCCGAATCACGCCCTTATCGTATAAAGTTGACTTGAGCGGATTAGAAACAGGTCTTCCATTCTGTAGTGAGAGAGTGTCGTTAGTATTGTATTATAGTCTCCGCCCATCTGCAGTGGACACAGCTCACCTTGTACCAGAAGAGGCTCCCCGGGGGGCTTCCTCCTGTTGAGAAACAAACTAGTCGTACTTTGGTTCCAGCATGTAGAGGGATGTCTGGAGAAGGGCCATCAATCCACACTTTCTGAGGAGGGGCTGTTTTTGAACAACAATCACTGTTTATAGGGGTAAGGGTCAGATATGGGCTGCACGATTTGTCATAATCAAATTGAAATTGCAGTGTTTGTGGTTGCAGTTAGTTGATAGAGCAACTATTTTGTGCGATTTAATTTCAAAACCTGGAGCTCCCCCCTTGGACTGCCACCTTAACGTGGTGGGGGAGTTTGAGCACTCGGATGATCCTGGGAGCTATGCTGTCTGGGGCTTCATGCCCCTGGTAGGGTCTCCCATGGCAGACAGGTCTCAAGTGACGAGTCAGACGAAGCGCAGTCCGAAGCCAACCATGGACAGCACGACAACAAAAACCGTGACGTCGCCCGGCATGGCGCAGCCGGGGCCCCACCCTGGAGCCAGGCCTGGGGTCGGGGCTCGCAAGCGAGCGCCTGGTGGCCGGGCCTTAGCCCACGGGGCCCGGCCGGGCTCAGCCCGAAGGGATGACGTGGGCAGTCCCTCCTGTGGGCTCACCACCTGCAGAGGGGTCCGTGGTGGCGAGGTGCAGAGAGGACTGGGCAGCAGTCGAAGGCGGAGACCTCGACGACCCAGTCCACACACCCAACATCTGGCTCTTGGGACGTGGAACGTCACCTCACTGGGGGGGGAAGGAGCCCGAGCTTGTGGGGGAGGTTGAGCGATACCGACTAGAGATAGTCGGCCTCACCTCCACACATAGCTTGGGCTCTGGAACCCAACTCCTTTAGAGAGGGGTTGGACGCTCCACTTTTCTGGTGTTTCCCGCGGGGAGAGGCGGCGAGCTGGGGTGGCCATACTCATTGCCCCCCATCTCAGCCGCCACGTGTTGGAGTTCTCCCCGGTGAATGAGAGGGTCGCGTCCCTCCGCCTCCGGGTGAGGGACAAGTCTCTCACTGTTGTGACGGCCTACGGGCCTAACGGTAGTGCAGAGTACCCGGCCTTCTTGGAGTCCTTGGGAGGGGTACTGGACAGTGCACCGCCCGGGGACTCCGTTATTCTCCTGGGGGACTTCAACGCCCATGTGGGAAATGCCAGTGACACTTGGAGAGGGGTGATTGGGAAGAGCGGCCCCCCTGATCTGAACCCGAGCGGTGTTCAGTTGTTGGACTTCTGTGCCAGTCACGGCCTGTCCATCACGAACACCATGTTCGAGCACAAGGGTGTCCATCAGTGCACGTGGCACCAGGACACCTAGGCCGGAGGTCGATGATCGACTTTGTAGTCGTATCATCTGACCTTCGACCGCGTGTCTCGGACACTCGGGTGAAGAGAGGGGCGGAGCTGTCAACCGATCATCACCTGGTCGTGAGTTGGATCCGCTGGCAGGGCAGGAGGCCGGTCAGACCTGGCAGGCCCAAGCGTGTAGTGAGGGTTTGCTGGGAACGTCTTGGTGAGCCCCCTGTCAGACGGACTTTCAACTCACACCTCCGGGAGAGCTTCTCCCAGGTCCCGGCAGAGGAGGGGGACATCGAGTCCGAGTGGACCATGTTCTCTTCCTCTATCGCCAATGCGGCGGCTCGTAGCTGTGGTCGCAAGGTCTCTGGTGCTGGTCCCGGCGGCAATCCCCGAACCCGGTGGTGGACACCGGCAGTAAGGGATGCCGTCAGGCTGAAGAAGGAGTCCTATCGAGCAATGATGGTTCGTGGGACTCCTGAGGCAGCTGTCCAGTACCGGCAGGCCAAACGTGCCGCGGCCCGGGCTGTTGCAGAGGCAAAAACCCGGGACTGGGAGGAGTTCGGAGAGTCCATGGAGCATGACTATCGGTCGGCCTCGAAGAGGTTCTGGCAAACCGTCCGGCGCCTCAGGAGGGGGAAGCAGTTCTTTGCCAACACCGTGTATGGTGCGGGTGGAGGGCTGCTGACCTCGACTGGGGATATTGTCGGGCGGTTGGAAGGAATACTTCGAGGTTCTCCTCAATCCCCCCGTCACGTCCCCCGTCCAGGAGGCAGAGGCTGAGGATGTTGGGGCGGATACTTCCATCTCCCTGGCCGAGGTCACCAAGGTGGTTGGCAGCCTCCATGGTGGCAAGGCGCCGGGAGTGGATGAGATCCGTCCTGACTATCTAAAGTCTCTGGATGTTGTAGGACTGTCTTGGCTGACACGTCTCTGCAACATCGCGTGGCGATCGGGGGCGGTGCCAATGGAGTGGCAGACCGGGGTGGTGGTCCCTCTCTACAAGAAGGGGGACCGGAGGGTGTGTTCCAATTATCGTGGGATCACACTCCTCAGCCTCCCCGGTAAGGTCTACTCCAAGGTACTGGAGAGGAGGCTTCGTCCGATGGTCGAATCTCGGATTCAGGAGGAGCAGTGTGGTTTTCGTCCCGGTCGCGGAACACTGGACCAGCTCTATACTCTCCATCGGATACTCGAGGGTTCATGGGAGTTCGCCCAACCTGTCCACATGTGCTTTGTGGATTTGGAGAATCAGCACCTCCAAATCCGAGGCCATGGTGCTTGACCGGAAAAAGGTGCCTTGCCCTCTCCAGGTGGGTGGAGAGGTCCTTCCTCAAGTGGAGGAGTTCAAGTATCTCGGGGTCTTGTTCACGAGTGAGGGGAGGATGGAGCGTGAGATTGACAGGCGGATCGGTGCAGCGTGCGCAGTGATGCGGTCTCTGTATCGGACCGTTGTGGTAAAGAGGGAGCTGAGCCGAAAGGCAAAGCTCTCAATTTACCGGTCAATCTTCGTTCCCTCCCTCACCTATGGTCATGAGCTGTGGGTAATGACCGAAAGAACGAGATCGCGGATACAAGCGGTCGAAATGAGCTTCCTCCGCAGAGTGGCTGGGCGCTCCCTTAGAGATAGGGTGAGGAGCTCGGTCACACGGGAGGAGCTCGGAGTAGAGCCGCTGCTTCTCCACGTCGAGAGGAACCAGTTGAGGTGGCTCGGGCATCTGTTCAGGATGCCTCCTGGACGCCTTCCTGGGGAGGTGTTCCGGGCACGTCCCACCGGGAGGAGGCCCCGGGGAAGACCCAGGACACGCTGGAGAGACTATGTCTCTCAGCTGGCCTGGGAACGCCTAGGGGTCCCCCCGGACGAGCTTGAGGAGGTGTGTGTGGATAGGGAAGTCTGGGCGTCTCTGCTTAGACTGCTGCCCCCGCGACCCGGCAACGGATAAAGCGGAAGAAAATGGATGGATGGATGGATGGAGAATACAGTTTCCCATATCTTCACAGTAGTACAGGTTTGAATAGGGGTTAGATGAAGCAGAGGGTTGTTTTTTTTTTATCTCAGCCCCCTCTCTCCCATTCAACAGTACACATAATCAACCTACAGAATACATCCCTAGGGCTGTTCTTTGCCGGAAAAATGGTAAATAAAATAAGCATCATATCTTTTGAATTTAGGAAATTTCTACTTGACGTCTAATTTTATGATTTGTCAATTGTACAAATATTTTTAGTCTCATTGTTGGTTGTCGTTTTTGTGTGAGTGTGCATACGTGTGCCAAAATCATGCAGAACCCAATACACTTCATGCAAAGTAACTCAATAAAAATCCCTCTAACGCTTCCTTTTGTCTGTGTCTTTCCAAATTAAATAGTGAATTCTGACTCCTACTATTATTGCTTCACTTTTACTCACAGTAGACAGTGATTTCAGCATGTTGAGTTTTGGAGACCTTTGTCCCCTTGTTGAAAGCCACACAAGAGAGCTTCAAACCATTGTCTTGTTTGGAGACCCGATAGGTCAAATTGGACAAAGTTGTCATCCCGCCATTTTTTCCCTAAAAAATGAGACAAAGGCAATAATTGCAAAATGGTTGGTGGCATTTATAAACTGCGAAGAGAAAAAAGACAAGCCGTTTAGAAAGGTCTTTGAAATACTGATGGCGAATTAGCTGCAGCAAAATCCAATCGTGTGAAAAGCCTGGGGTAAATAAACATATTCATCTGACTCCAGCGGTTCTGCACCTGCCCGACCGGGGCCATGCCCGTGCAGCACATCTGCTTATTAAAACTATTATTGTGGTGATTACAGTAAAAGCCACAATCTGAAAGACTAACAAAGACGCCGCGGACAGGAGCGTCAGTCTTCATTAACCACACGCGGCTTCAGACACGTAGAAAACCTTCCCGTGCACACACACGCCGCGTGCGTAAGATCAAATGGAAATGCTGCTGCCAGATGAATAAAGAGCTTGTTTAATAACGCTCATCTTCCGTGTCAGCTTTTATTCACTTTGATCATATTAGCGCACACAAAAGAGCAGAAGAGCAGCAGCGTGGCCTTTGTATTATTATCATTGCCCATTCACCGGAGAGATGCGGTCGCCCCATTCAGTCTTCCATGGTCGGCCATTTCACCTTGTCAGCAGAGGTGCGCATCAGGTCAAATTACTTATCTAATTCACTGGAGAGCAGTACAATTCTAGAAATCTAATGAAAATAAGGTTGAATAAAAACTGGTTTCTTGGCAATTCTGACATTTTGGCTCATAATACGCCTGTGTGTAAGATTGGACTCACAATCTTAGAAGTTGGAAAAAAAAATATTTTGCCAAAATACAAGATAAAGGAAGTGGAAAACAAAGAGGGAAAAGGTCCAAGACACTCCAAAGACTTTTTACAAGGCCTAAAGTAAAAAGATTTGACCCCTATGCCTCTGACCTTTTCCTCTTGGTTTTCCACAACAAACACAGTATATATTCTTATTTATTTTTGGCCCTCAACCATGATAATAAAACAACTTACTGCCAAAAACTGCCACTTGTGCGATATAAAACTACCTTAAACGTTTACTTGACATTGTGTGTCTCTCAGAAAAGTTCTCATGTGATGTAAAAATGTCGCCCTGACGTAAACACTAGAACCCCCAGAGCCGTCATTTTGACTGCTCCCATTTAAACCAACAACATTCTGAAAAATGTCCCCAAAACGTTTTTGTTTCGTCAATTTTTATTAATAAAATATTAATAGATAATCTATTATTATTATTGTTTTTTTCATCCTTACTCACTTTTGATAAGTGCTAACTGGTGAATATGTGGCTTATTGGAAAGGCTACTGAGCGGCACGGTGGCTGAGTGGGTAGCACTCTCGCCTCTCAGCAAGAAGATCCTGGGTTCGAATCCCGGTCGGAATGGTATCTTCATAAGTGGAGTTTGCATGTTCTCCCCGTGCTTGCGTAGGTTTCCTCCGGTTTCCCGTACACACTAGGTGGTTAAATCCACCTAGTGTGACCAAGCTGAGCATCAGCATCTGGAGATGGGTTCCCGGGCGCTCTACTACGGCGATCACTGCTCCTGACGTAAGCCTTAGCGTGATCAGGATGGGTAGCACTTGTCCTTCTCTTGGTATAACTGCTAGTCATAATTCCTCTCATAATAAAAATGAAACATGATTTCATAAAAACAATGACATTAAAATAAACTACATATATGGAAGCAGAAAAAAGTCACATATTTAGGAAGCTCAAAAAGCTTCACACGTTGCATATTTATACTTCCCAAAGTAAAACCTGTCAAATTGACTGCTGTGGGACTTCTAGTGTTAATACTGTGGACCTACCTCTTCCACAACCACAGCTGTAGAGTTCAGCTCCGTGTTGCCAAGCCACCAGCGCATCTGCACTGGTGGGTTACTGGATTTGGCAAAACAGTTCACATTTAACTCCTGGTTTTCAATGGCCTCAAGAGAGCCCAGCAGTATCACTTCTGCTGGATCAACTGGTGACATCATGAGGAAGACAAATACAATTACAAATGTGCACTAGTTACATCACCACCCCACAATTAGAGTTAATTGTTACATGTAAATCCTCTTTGAGTGTCCAAAAAAAGCACAATATAAAATCCATGCATTATTATTTAACAAATGTGATAATACTGTGTTTGACCGTGGTAGAAGTTTGCTCCTTGCAAGAGAGACAGTAGGGATCATTTGATATTTCTATACCCTCATTTAAAGATCTGCAGCTATCTAGAGGATCATCGTAAGTAATCAATTGAAACTTAATATTTAGATTTTATTAGATTTATAAGTGGACGGGACTCTGCAGCTGTATCTCAAATCAAAAATAGTTGATTGATACAGTACTTAGAGTTTGGCATAGACGCAGCTCAAAATCAGGATTCAGAAGTGTTTCTTTCATCGCTCTATAATTTTGTTCCCTGACACTCCTGACTCTCAATGCCTAAAGCACATTAGAAAAGAAGCAGTTCTTTTTCACCATCTCTGTGAAACCAGTTGGAGGCTGCCAACTCGAGCCTGCACACATCTGGAGAGACCTCACTCACTTTTCAGAACAAAAGCCATATATTTGTTAAGAGAATTATTCAGGGTGAACGCAATAACTTTTCATTTGCATACACTATAGTCGCATTAATCTGCATTTAGCAAGCTCATGTTTTCACCACTGTCTCTGTAGTGGAAATGAGGTTATAATTAGAGCCTGGAATTCTATTCTTTTTGTTGCTGAGAGAAACATTTGATATTGATTTTAAAAATACATTATTAACAATCAGCATGACTCTCATATGTAGGCTGTGCAGTCTGGGGTATAGCTAGGGGCACGAACAGATACACTAATCTGGAGCGGGCTTCTCAGCATTGGTTTTCATTAATGATATTAGCACAAGAATTTATGCTGAACGGCAAAAGAATGAGTTTTGGAGGTAAGACTTGTATTATATTCCTCTCCCTCATGCCCGCATGCTTAATAATCCATCGCTCCGAGCCCTGGCAGGAATTATGCAGAGCCTCCACAGCTGGGAGCAAAGAGAATGTGTGCGAGTGGGCTATTTTACATTTGACTTATGTATGTTTTATATATATATAGGTTCATAATCATATTAACTAGCTACTAATTTAATGCTTTGCACAAGTCTAGCTCAGAGATAGACTGCATTTATGGACAATGCTAATCCACTGCAGCCTAATGGAGAAGTGCTCATGGGCAAAATAATGGACTCCTGTTACATGTTTTGAGTTTTGCTGTTGGAACGATCAACTCTGGATCTTTGAGTTTCAATAATGAATGTGACAAGAGTTTACCTTTCAATGTCACTCAATCGGAGTCCAGCATTTTGTCCATGAGCACTTCTCTATTAGGCTGCAGTGGATTAGTATTGTCCATGTATACAGTCTATCTATGAGCTAGACCTGTCTGATTCATGCTGTTTAAATCTGGCTTCCTGAAAATGTGAGACAAGCTTCATATTCAAATCCAGGTTAAAAACAGCTCTTTTTATCTGTGCATACAACTGAGGTTTTTTTTTTTATCTTCACACTTTTTAATGTACTGTGATTATTTATGATTTGAATGCCTTGTGTGACTGTCTCTTTGTTGTTTTATTCAGCAGTGTATGATTCAGATTCAGACTACTTTATTTATCCCACCAGGGACAATTCATTTGAGGCACACATAAGAAAATAAAATAGAAAGTAAATAACATAAAAACACGTGCTGAATCGTGCTATACAATTAAACTTGCCGTGCCTGTAAGGCCGCACATTGTCTTTGATTTCATGCCAATTTATGCCAATAGCACCCCCTCCCAGGTAGGGTCAGAATCCCAGACATTTTCTATGGATTTAAGAATTCTTCCATTTTAGAAAGACTAATTGAGGCCATGTCTAGGAGAATGAGGCAGTCTGGTCACTCTAGTTTATGGTATAGCTTAATTAATTTCCTTGTTTGTTTCTGTTCTAATATTACATGATCATTGCGTCAGATTGAACATTGGCAACCAATGCGTATTAACCATGAGGTTGGGTGGAGAAAGAACTGTCGCCAGCTCACTCACTTCCAGTATTTGTCTTCGTTTTTTATCCACTTTTAATTGTTACAAACAGCCAATATACTGATACAGTATTACACATATCTTCCAAGGTTACAATCCCAAAAAAATCACAACTACAAAAATAATGCCCCTTTCTATTTTTTGGTGCTATCTTCCTACCACCAGAGGCAAGAGGACTGCGCCATCTGGAATCAGGCTACTTCAGGAGGTCACTACTGGTGTGGTGGTGTGTAGTGTTATTTTGCCCACTTTTTTCAACTCACAGATGACGGTGAGGGTTCGGCTTGTGATCAGAGGAGCAGCAGAGGCCAGGTTGGCGCTCTCACAGCTCAGCACGGCCTGGTTGTCGTCCGGTCGGATCCGCAGGGACAGGGCACTTCTAGATGTACGGGCCACAGGGTCTTCCTCCCAAGTCTTCAGCACGATCTCTCCATCCTGTCAGGGGGAAGAGACACATCATTCATCAATCATCTGCTTTAAATGTGTTTTCCTTGGGTCCACCCCAAGAGCTTTTCATTTTACACACCCCTCATCTGGCCCCAAAATACCTCTGACATTAATCAAGATTAAAGTATTTCTAACGGAAACGAGATGTTATATATTTTGCAAAGAGCAAAACCAAAAAGTTGGACTTCTGAGATAAAATGACTTGGAAAATACGCCATCTACTCTGGGACTTTTGTTTCTTTGCCAGGAGACAATATACAGTATAGTGTTCGTGGCGTCTGTGATGGAGAGGAGAATATTACAAAAACTTCTCTCTATATTTTTTTTTTATCATTTACATTTTCTCTTTTGTTCTTCTTAGTTTAGCAGCTGAGTCGCAAGATTTCCTTCGGGATTCATTTTATATTTCTATTAATCTATTGACAATGCAAACTAGATTGGAGCTTTTAAAACAGACCTGGAAAGAGTCCAGAAAGTTACCCTCCAACTGAAATATAATTCTACAACATTAACACACTACACTATATATCGATATCGTGATGTATCGTGATACTTTCTCACGCGATCAATTATCGATATGCTTTTGACAAGTATCGATTTATTTTTTTATTAGTATCAATAATATATGGCTACATTATGCATCTCCATTCAATTTATCATGTAAAAATATGTGTAATTAAACAACATAACAACTTACTATATGAATTATGCCACAAATGCAGTAAATAGAAACCCTCTAAGTGCGCCACTAGAAACCACCCAAAACACAAAAACGTAACAAACAACATCAAATCAAAACCCACCCCGCTAACACACCCATACACAAACCATCCCCAACACACCCGCAACTACATCCTCGTATAAAATAATCTAAAAAATATATCTTAGAACGCGAATTGTACGTAACATGGTATGAACCCTATGGAACCACCCCAGAAAACACACCCTATAGAGCTCCCAACCATTTTGCTCATGCGCTGCCACAAAATCCAATATATAAAAATTGCTACAAAAATATAACCGCTCACACGTCCCTGACACCCCCCACTCCCCCGACCCACCACCATAGGAGCCCCCACAAACCTACAACCCCCCCAAGTACCTGCATCACACCCTCATACTGTGAAACCCTTATACCCCAGACTTAAATGGCCAGAGTGGTAAACCGGAAGCACCACCACACTGCCATCAACAGCACGGTCCCAGTCACTGACTTCCTGTCATCATCTATGCCCAAACAACCAGTAGTTCAGAGGTGTCCCTTGTCAAGAACCACCTTTAAAACCCACTATACAAAGTGAGAAATGGTAAATAGTGTGCTGTTAAAACGAGTAAAATAATACCAATCTGTTGGGATAGAGCTAACAGCTATAGGTAGCATTATCTGACATGAGCGGCATGGAAACACACTTCCAGTCAATTAAATCTGGGGAACCAAACATAAAGTATTAATGTAATATACATTAGTGATTGTCCCATTAGAGAGACTATGAAGAATTTAAAACTACTTAACACAACACAACATGCAGGACCATGTCAATCATCTCAAAAAAAATGCAATAAATATGTAATAAAGAACGAAAAGATACACTAAATCGAACGCATTGTGTGCTATAGATCAGAGATTGGCTAAGCAAGGGTGGACCTCACTTTTCTGTCGGAACAAAAACGATGCTAATCCAATGTGATGGAGGCCAATAAAGCATGCTTTTGAAAACTAGTGAAAGAACTAAATTGTTTTGAACTAGTTTTCAGCTGAACAGATTATCTGGTTATTATGTCTCTCTGTGGAAACCGTCTGCAACATTTTGATTTGTTCGCTCCACAGTGGGTGGTACCTTTTGACTTTAACCAATCACTGCTGTTTGGTCATGACATTTGTCGGAAGTAGGGAAATAACTTTACCTTTTGTTCTAGCTTTAAATCCTCAGTTCTGTGAATCTTTCAAACAAAGAATAATTGGCATGGTTTCCATCCATCTCCATCACTTTAGTAACTGATTGAACCTAATGGTTGAACTACAAACAGGCGCTGATTGGTCTTCCTGGTTCTCGGAGCAGTCTGCGTTGCTGCGATGACTGACCAAGCAGCTGGAGTAATTATTAACTTTTTAATCAAGGTGATTCTGTAATTAGAAAAACTTAGAAACACGCAATTGGACACATTTTGTAGCAATTTAGCTGTGATTTGAGTTTTATTTGTATATTCCCAGGCCCTCAGCCACAGTACTGAGATCGGTATCAGACTAAAAAGCCGGTGCCCCCCTAATTTCATTACTATATTATTTTTTTCTTCAATATGTAAGAACCTCAGCTTTAAATTCTGAAACTCATATTGGATGTAGAGCAGTAAATTGCATGCAGTTTTAGGAAGCCTGGATTGGATTAAGCATTAGGGAGGCAGTGAGCTGTAACCAGTCCATAAAGCATAATAACAGATGTTCAAAAAGTAATAAGGCAACGTGAAATATGAATAGATTACCGCCTCCTCCAATAAAATGTATGCGGTAGAATAAATTAGGGGAGGATGTCTCTTTGTTATTGCTGCAATCCGTTTTGGAGAGCAGGCTTGCGGACCCCCAGACCAGTGTGACAAATTGTTACCGTGCTAACAATCCGGCCGGCTGGAAATGGCCACAGCGCCGGTGGCTTTGATGGGCTGGCGTGCTGAGTAAGACTGCAGCGGTGGTCCCCAGTTCTGCAACATTAGCACTTAATACGCAGCCCTCTGAAAGTTACACTGAGAGGGAGATAGGGAGGGCCATTGTTAAAAGTGTAATATGGAGGAGGCAGAGACAACAATGAGCTGTAATGTCCGCAGTGGTGGAAAATGTGGAACTCAATTTTGTGACGCAAGCAAAAAACATGAATAATTAGAGAGTATTTCTGTGACTTCAATTTTATTTCTTTTTTGAGAAGAATAATTTTTTTTGACCATATGAGCCTGTTCTATCATCTATATCATGGGTCTCATACCTCGGAGGTAGCTCGCCACCTCATTCTAAGTAGCTCCCCAATGGGTTTTACAAATTACATTATGCTGAATTATTAAACACGTCTAAAAAAAAAAAAGTTCTCAGTGGGACAATCTGCTTCATTAAAATGTCAAGCTCAGTCGCAACTTTAGAATCATTTTGTAAGGGATTGTTTTAATACTTGTAAAATAACAGGATATTTTAACAAACTCAAACATTTTATTGAGTTACTACATTATCTTATTTATTCATTTATTTTTTTGCAGGGCTGTGCATCACTATATAGACTTTCTTACAACTTCCTAATGGAGTAGCTCACTGTCATCTCTATTCCAGAAAAAGTAGCTCTCCATGGAAAAAGGTTGGAGACACCCGAACTATATGAATTGTATTTTTGGAAAACACATGCTCAAAACAGTCCCTCCTCTTGGAATAACCATCACCAGTAAGAATTGCTGGAGGTGAATAGTTGGACCAATGGTGAGGAGTCTCTGCAGTCTATCAGGCATTTTAATTGCATCCAATCAGCAGCTTACTGCTAGCGTTTCTCTCAATAAATTCAATGCCATTCAATGTATTCTTGTATAGCCCTAAATCACAACAGTCATCTCAGAGGACTTTACAAAACCGTCTAATTCACAAAGATCAGAGGATTAAATATAGTTCAAACACTAGAAATGCAATCATTATCCCTAATTTCATTACTCACATCCAATAACTTTACAGATTTGTTCATGTGTAAATCTCTACCACATTCAATGGAACTATGGAATAAGAAACACTAAACAGATTGATTCAATGCATGCATTTGTGGCCTCTGTCACATCTTTCAATCAACTTTTTCAAACAGATAAAGGAAAGTGAGCACCACCCTGGCCCTTTCAGCTCTCAGCCAAAAGGGTCAAATTGTGACTCAAAAGGCTCTTTAGAGTATGTTTTCTAATAGGAGCAAATGTATTTGTCTGATTTGTCAACATTTATGATTGTCAAGACTTGTTTCTGTTGGGACAAAGACATTGTAATGCTCCAAGAGCCAGACGAGAATTTTACATGATTTTGGATTGTAGCAAGATTATTTGAGACGATCAATTATTATCCAACTGAGGACTGAAGCGCTGTGTGCGCACAACAACATCCTCTATTGTTCACTCACAAGAGAAACCAAGAATGAATCCAAATGACATCTTATTGTCCGAGATTTTTAATAAAACCCTCTATCCTCACTGAAAGTTTGATTTTATTTGTGTTTTAATGTCACAAGAATCAATGTGTGTCTTTGCTTTTATCTCACTCCTGAAAAAAACCCACACAAATAAGTCTTTTAATGATACGTTTTACCTGCAGGAGGTAATAATTGACAGTGACTGCAAATGCAGAAGGCGGGAATCATATGTATTGCTAAATTATAGTCCTCTCCATAATCAGCATACTCAACGCTGTATTTTGAATTATTTGGGCGTGTTTTTGAATTGTACTGCATTCGAGGCTTAAGCCCTCTGAAGATTACAGACTGCATCATAATGAAGGACTGAGGTGACGAGTTCTTTGAACACAGGTGAAATGTGGGTCAATATATGTATAACATACCTTACTGTTTTTCAAACATAATCGTTTTCCTTTGAGTTACTCCGAGTGACTCTTGGTGCAGAATTATTATTAACAGTCCTAGACCCTGGCCCTAACAGTCCCAGACCCTGGTCCGACCAGTCCCAGACCCTGGCCCTAACAGTCCCAGACCCTGGTCCGACCAGTCCCAGACCCTGGCCCTAACAGTCCCAGACCCTGGTTCTAACAGTCCCTGTAGTGGAAATAACAAGGACAAATCACTCTTAATGTAAGGCAACTAGGTTCTCTGTTAGAAGACATAGATTTCTCAGCCTCCTTTTAGATTTAATAAGAAAACCTTGGTTTTAGATGGCCTTTGGTATTTAAAATCGTTCTCCCTGTTGCCTTGGTTACTACAACTGTATCAACCAAATACTGCACAAAAAGATGTCATTGTTTCATTGGAAGTCGTCAAAGTGAGCTTCTGTGTTTGTGGCACTACCTTTTTAGGTATTTTCCTAAAAATTAAGAAATATATTTTAGCAAAATGGAGACTCCATAAGTTCTCCACTTGATACGAGATGTTGCTACAACTGTCACACCACTGAAAATGTTTAATCTGTGAAGATTTACATGTTCTTTTAATGTAGAGATTTACGTCCTGTCCCTCGGAGCACAGGATTGTCACTGCCTTGACGTCCACTGCAACCCAGCAATGTGCATGTGACCATTATTGTAATGCTTTACAATGGTTTACTTTGGTAAATAGTAACTTTTGAGTAACTTTACTGAGAGACTTTTGAAAAGGAACACATTATTGAATATATTACAAAAGTAACAATAGTTATCTCTGTAAATCATAATATTAACAGAACATTTCTGACCAATCCTGTGCTTTCTGTCCCCAAAGAATGAGTGGGAACTATACCTACATATGTTTTGTGTCTTGATGATTTTTTGCCTTAAATGTGAAATGTTTTTGATGCACTAACTTTTTATATAACTTGCTCAATGGTTACTATTTGAAAACTTGGCTTCAGATTCCAGACAGATTGCAGTCAGTCTATTCTCACTGTTTGGGCTCAAGTTAAGAAAAAAGCTCATCTACTCTGAGTAAAATCCTCCACTTTGTGCTGTTCGTGTTCTCTGGAGCCCAAACCGCCAGAGACAGTCACACTGATGCTTCTCCCTCAGTAGTGAAGAGTGACTTTGCCTTCAGGTGGAATATTTCTCTTTGGACATGTCTGGGGACCCCTGGGGCTCCTTGGGGCTGCTGCATAGTGTTCCCCATGATTGTGTTCCTGAAATAGGCCGCTTGTTGTTGGCAGTGGAAGAGACAGCTTGACACTCACAGTACACGGTCATCGTCATCGCTGTCTGCACAGGACTGGGGTGAGCAGAGTTTTTGGCTTGACATACCAGCTGCCTCCCATTGTCTGAACTTACAGCTGTGAACCTGGAATGACAAGATTAGCAAGATTTAGGCATGATAAATCGCTTTCCCATTTGGAAAAGTGATCTACAGCGGGTGTGTGTGTGTCTGCTTATGCGTGCAAAACATTGTCTGTAAATACTGTAGAACTGTAAATATTGCTAAATTGACAAAACCCACTAGACCAGGGGTGTCAAACTCATTTTGGTCGGGGTTTAAAAACATATGAGCAGGTTCTGTGCCAAAAGTAAAAAAGTGGTTGACTTTTAGTATCATAATTTTTGTTTACATATTTTTGTATTTGGACTTTTTTTTATTTGAGATGAGTTTGAATGTTATTTTCTAGTACAGCCATTCCCAAACTCAGTAACACCGAGGCCCCCTTAAAAATCTGACGGGTCTGCGTGGCCCCCCAAAATAATAACCAAGAAGACAACATTAAGAATAGGCTCTTCTGGTTATTTTATTTTGGGGAAATAGCCTCTGCTACAAACATTGTAATACAAAAATGATTACAGTGGATTATTCAAGTCAAATAATGAACACAAATATTTTAATATCACAAACAAAACATTATAAATTTAACATTAAATAATTATATATATTTTTTTTTATGACCTCCCGCGGCCCCCCTGCAGTACCCTCGCGGCCCACCAGGGGGCCGCGGACCCCACTTTGGGAGACACTGTTCTAGTAGATTTGGATTCAACCTAGCCATGCGTAAACTTTGGTCAATTATCATTTCCCTACTACACGTATGTCTTGGTCTGATCCTAGTGGCTACGGTTACCTCGGTTGTATCCCATCCGACCAATCAGCGACTGGGGGAGGCGGGTGTTATGGGTGTTATGGGTAGGTGCAGGTGATGTCAAAAGTTTGCGCGGAATTTGCTGGTTGTAGTTTAGCAATGGCAGCGAATGCAATAGTAAAGGAAGCTCTACAATCCGTTCTGCTTCGGCTCCCAAAAATCAAGAAATTGAAACCGAAGCAAGTTGAATGTTTCTCAAATTTCACTTCTGGCAAAGATGTTGTGGCTCGACTCCCCACGGGCTCCGTTAGTGGCAAAGGAGCTTGCTAGATTAAATGCTAAATCACATTGCAATATGATATGTCACTGCATAGCTCCAACTCTTTTGCAGTTCTATTCGATCGATTAAGAGAAAATGTATTCCCAAGGTTTGTCTTAATAGTAATTTAAAAACACACAAAATATACAAAATTGCTGCTATGTTTCTTAGCTAGCTGTAAATGCTGTAAATGCTTCAATACCAGTATTTCAATATATACTGTATATACGTAGATAGTACAGAGTTATACACTGTACATATAGGGCAGGATAATAAGTAGATAAAGTAAAGTGACATTGTTCAGTGGACATTATGAAGCTTCAGTATTGCACATTGCACATGATTTATGTATTTCCTTATTTACAGATGAATGACTTTTACAGGCTTAGCAGTTCCAATTGTACAGTCTGACAGCAGCAGGAAGGAAAGACCTGCGGAACCTATCCTTCACACAGTGAGGGTGAATAAGTCTGTCACTGAAACTGCTCTCCAGAATAGCTAGAGTGTTCAGCAGGGGGTGACAGTCATGGTAATGGGGGACAGTTTAGTCCTAACATTAGTTTTAGCACTAATTTAGAACAACAGAATCATACTTTAAATGCAAAACCTTCACATGTAGTGGTCCCACAGATGAGTCTGCTGTGCATCCTACAGTGTGAGTCCAGCAGGTGACAGAGCCAAGACGCCAAAGTGAATTACTGGAGTAAAGTATGCAGTTGGTTTATCCTCCACATACATCTCCTCCATCAAATTAGGCTGCTGCTCCGTCAGCTGTAGCAATCATACATGGGCCACTGCTGCGTGAGCCGCGTGTGAACACAAGACTGAGCATCAATATAACTTAAGCCCGGCCATGCTATTATCCGCCTTGAACAATGTCGCAGCTCTAAGAAAACCAATGTTATCTCTGGATATGACAAGAGGTTATTTTTTCTGACGCGGTGGAGACGCCGAGGGTAATAAGAAATCCGTGGCCTTGGTTAATGTACAGTAGGCACCTGGCGAAGCTGTGGATCAGATGTGTCTTGCTAGCCGACAATGTAATTTTGTTTCTTTGACAGAAGTTAATTCAGCCGTGCGGAGCCAAGTTGGAAAGCGGCATTGAGGAATGGCCATGGCACAATTATAATGAGCTGAAAGAGAATGCTATGACATAGGGCAAGTTTGCAGAAATATAAAAAAAATAGGGAATTGTGATTTATCTAACAAACAAGGCAAGTTTCAAAAGTACTAGATTTTCTGTTGCCCTGGTCCTTTCTATATTGAATGTCTTCTCTAAGATTTGACTCAAGTTTATTTTAGAGAAGAGAAGGAGAGGCAAACTTGAATAAAATATAGTATCATTTGCATTTGTGGTTATTTATACGTTTTAATATCATTACATTATTCTTATCATTACTATTCATGTTTTGAAATAGTAAAATAAAGTAAGTGGTTGTACTCTATAACATGCCAAGGTAGCAAGGTATCAACCGGATGGGAAGAAGCCAATATTTGCACCATGCACCCGGGTGTGTTGTCAGAGAGTGGTGTTCAAAATTAGTGCCTTTATTTGCAAGAACTTGGTTAAAATGGATCCTCTGACACAGAGTCAATGGAGGTATAGATAGATAGATGGATAGATACTTTATTGATCCCCGTAGGAGAAATTCAGGTGTCCAGTAGGAGCAAAAACACATCCATCCACACAAAAAAACATATAAATTGATAATTCTAAAAAGCTGACAATAGTAATAATAAAATGCAACAGCACTTCATGTCACTGACTATATATAGGTCTAAATCAGAGGAGTCAAAATCATATTTGTCCTGGGCTGAAATTCTTTTTAAAAAGGACTGGCTGGAGGTATCCAATGAGGTAGATTATAGAGAGTCAAAAAGTGGTCCAGCAAATGGTTGAGGTAAACATGAAAGGGTTAAAACCAGTCGCTGCCCCATCTCTCCTGCCAAGTAACAGTTTGCGGTGCAGAGAAAAGCTTTGTGCTGACAGAGACAGGACAGAAAGCAGAAACAAAAGCAGACTGAGCTTTTGATTCAGGTCTGGCACGTACGTTACTTGTGTGTGCGTGTTGAGCAGCTTATCCTCTGAGCCAGCCGTGGTGAAAGACTGCGCACCTGTCAGCTCCACTCCATCTGCAAGACAATATGAGCAACAGGGCCCGCAAGACGCATCGCACGACCCAAACACAAAACGCTGTGGTTATTCCCTGCTAAACACAAGGAAAGTACAAACCTGGCAATGTGTAAAAAGCTGTTTAGGCAGATTTCAGAACGCTGGTGAGAGTGTAATGCGGAGGATCCTTATTTAAATATGCGAGCGAGCCTTCTTTTCTTACAGCAGATTTAGTATGGGAAGAAAGAAGCAGAACATGGAGGTTCAGTGTTGGTGTCGCTGATAGTGAAGGATTTCCCCACATACTGCATGGGCCCATTGTGTTTGGCCATTTATACCCAAGACTGTACTGGGAGTATTTTGTCCATCCAGGTTTCCGGAAGAAAATAAGAGAGAAAAAAGAAAGGTTTTGCAGTCCCATTTGTTGTGGTTAGCCATGCTTCTAAGTTCATAGAAGCATGGCTAACTACAAACCTCCATCTAAGTTAATTTATGTAGAATTGCAGTGGTTAGCTATGCTTCTAAGTTCACTGATGCAGGTTTGCAATGGTTAGCCTTTCTTCAATTCCAAGTTCACTGATGCAGGTTTGCAGTGGTTAGCCTTTCTTCAGTTCCAAGTTCACTGATGCAGGTTTGCAGTGGTTAGCCTTTCTTCAGTTCCAAGTTCACATATGCAGGTTTGCAGTGGTTAGCCATGCTTCTAAGTTCACCGATGCAGGCTTGCAGTGGTTAGCCATGCTTCTCAGTTGTCTCAATAAACCAACAATTGTTTAAACTGTATTTTCTTATCTGTTATTTGTCAAATCAACAATAATGGTTAAGCTCTCAGGATGATTGCTGTCATGATTTTGGGCTATGCAATAAAAAAAGGTTGGATTAACAAGTGATTAGCTACGCTTCTAAATTTACAAGTGGTTGGCCATGCATCTAAATTCACTAATAAAAGGATTGAGTTAGAGCTCCATTCTTCTGAGATCATTTAGAAGTAGTTATAACATTAGATTGTAACATGTTGCTGAAAAAATTGGGATCACTACATTACTACTTCATGTTTAGGTTTTTTGTCCCACCAAAAATAATATTGTCAAAGTAACGTTCTTTTTTTTTTTGGACATGTTATCATTTGCATTTGTAAGAGCCTGCTGTGAGTCTTTGGGTTGAGAGCTTAATGCAGCCCGCGAAAATTCAATTTGGTAGACGTTAACCAAATTTACCCCCTCCAGGCCGGCTCGCATCCCCAGCCTATTGCTCAGCAGACGCCCCCTTCCAATCATCTGTACCGACTCGCAGCCGCATAAAAACGGAGCAACTCCCACTACCGGCCTCCTGAAGCCTCGCATGCTCCTGCAGCCTCGCAAAGAATCGTTCTGGAGGAATCGCTTTTGTCTACTCACGCTTTCTCGTGCGTGTCCCTGCTGTCCTCTGTCTTGCTGCGTGTGGTCTGCTCCTCCTCCTGCACCTGCTGCGGGTCTCGTGCGTGGTCCGTGGGTCTTTGCCGCTCTCCTCCTTTGCGGGCTCTTCCGCGGGTTCGCCGCTGCTCGTCTCGTCGCGGCCTGCTGCTGCATATGGCCGGTCTAGCCCGGTGCGGTGGGAGCCGTGCGCATCCCTGCCTCCTTGTGCCGGTACGGTGTGGTCCCGTCGTGTTGTCCCTTGTCTTCTGGCGCCGTGGGTAAGTATGAGATCCGCGGACGGTTTATTCCCCTCGCATAGTTCTGCAGGCTCAGTTGGCCCCGTGCTGGTGGGCAGGCTTCAGTTTAAAGCCCTTGCATTGGTCTGCAGGCTCTCTTTAACCAAGCTCCGTTAAATCTTCACTCTGACTGCAAGCTCCGTTTAATCCCTCACATTGGACTGCAAGACCTCAGTTTTAATCCCTCTCATTGGACCGCATGCTCTCAGTTTTAATCCCTCACTTTGGCCTGCAGGCTCTGTTTAAATCCCTCTCTGGACTGCAAGCGCTGTTTAAATCCCTCACATTGGACCGCATGCTCTCAGTTTTAATCCCTCACTTTGGCCTGCAGGCTCTGTTTAAATCCCTCTCTGGACTGCAAGCGCTGTTTAAATCCCTCACATTGGACCGCATGCTCTCAGTTTTAATCCCTCTCTCGGCCTGCAGGCTCTGTTTAAATCCCTCCCTGGACTACGAGCTCTGTTTAAATCCCTCTCTTTGGACTGCAAGCGCTGTTTAAATCTCTCTCGGACTGCGGCTCCCAAAATGAATCCCTTACATTGGTCTGTGAGCTCTCAGGTTAATCCCTCACGGAACTGCTATATCTGGAAATGCCTATATCTGGAAATGCCTATATCTGGAAATGCCTATATCTGGAAATGCCTATATCTGGAAATGCCTATATCTGGAAATGCTTATATCTGGAAATGCTTATAGCTGGAAATGCTTATACCCGGAACTACTTATATCTGGAACTGTTGTACCGTATCTGGAACTGCTTCATATGGAACTGCTTATATATGGAACCGCTATATTGGAACTGCTCATATGGTACGGTTATACCTGGAACTGTTATGCAGTACATGGAACTGCATATATGGTACTGCCTATATCTGGAACGCTATATTTTAAAAAATAAATAAATGCATAAATAAATACATATAAATAAATATATTCATTTACTTGCCATCTCTCTTCACTTGCATCTCTTTTACTGAAACACTGATCAGCTACGACAACATTCTACTGCTGTGGCTTGATACAGGATTATTACTGTAATCTCTAAGGATGCGGCTACTGCTGCTGCTGCTGCTGCCGCGGCTTGATACAGGTTATCGCGTTATTATCTGAGGTACTGCTGCTGCCGCTGCTGCTACCGCTACTGCTGCAACCCACTCTCTCAGAAGCTTATCCTGTTTTTAATGGATGCTGCCCGGCTGAGTATGCCGCGCCGCGCTGGCCTCGTACCTATGCTCCCAGGGTCGCTTCGGCGGTCATGCTTCATCTCTCTGCCTAATCTTCTGATTTTATCAGATGCAGCTGGCCGAGTAGCTGCGCTGAGCCGTCAATCGGACTCCTAATCAAAGGCATCCATACCTGTATTCTTCCCTCTTCTGATCGCAGGCTCCCCCGTCGTGCTGCCCATCCTGCAGCGGCTCTGCGCGGCACTGAACTCTGGCTCGTCTTCCAAGTACATGTCTGCCCTCCTCGCAGCATCTTCCTGCTCGCCTTCCATGACTTCTCTGCATAAGCGTTCACTACTGCTCGCTCAACCTTCATGCGGTCCGAGACGCGGCTTCCCGACCATCCTACTGTCCTGATTACCTACTCTCCAACCCAAGATTCTAAGCGTAGGGGCGCCTGCAACATCAATGGCCCTCTCCGACATGTCTCTGCCCCTACAGGTCTCCGCTTCTACACGGACGTGCCCCTTCCGTGGGTTTTGGGGGATTCTTCCAGGACCATTGGGTTGCCGGGCCGTGGCCGCTACTTCCACCGGAGCATCTCCTCTGCCCTACACGAGATATTCCCAGTGGTCGTGGCCTGCGCGCTGTGGAATCACACGTGGCAGAGAAAGAGGATCTCTGTCATGCGAGATAATCTCGACGTAGTGGAAGCATCACACAAAGGTCGCTCTTTTTCACCCAACATAATGTCCCCTGACCCTTTCAACCTGCATCTCAAACATTCAAAGACCAAGGCGCCTGCAACATAATAATAGCTCGCTCCGACACATCTCTCTCCAGACAACCTTCCCATGACAGCAACCTGGTTCAGAGCTCAACTAAGATCCCTACTGCTCCTCTGCAATCTGTCTCCCCAGCTCTATACAGCCCACTCCTTCAGGATAGGCGCTGCCACGCGAGCGGCCTCGCTGGGGCTCCCCCACCTCTCCAACAGCTGGGGGGCTGGTCCTCTTCGGCCTTCTCCGCCTACATCAGCCCAGACGCGTCCGCCATCCTGGCTGCACAACGCCTACTGGCTTCCTCGCAAGCTCCCAGCAAAGCAATACGAAGCAAAGTAAGTGAAGCAATAAGATTCTGGTGGCGGCACGCACTTCTCAAACACTCTCCGCTGCCGCAGCGTCTGACGGAACGTGATGCGTACGCTCACGTTCCCAGCGCGCAAAAATAACCCACGATGCATTACACTCGCCTCCGCTCTCGGAAAGGAGATCTCAACGGACCGTTATTTCTCACCCCCGATCACCTCCCAATGTCATCCAACGGGTTCAGAGCCCAACTAAAGTCCGTACTGCTGCTTCGTAACCTGTCTCCCCATCTCTACGCAGCTCACTCCTTCCGGATAGGCGCCGCCAGCAGCCGAGTATCCGCAAGTATTGATCACAGTAGATAGCGGTCACAGCATATAGCGATAGCGGTCACAGCATATAGCGATAGCGGTCACAGCATATAGCGATAGCGGTCACAGCATATAGCAAAAAATGGTTAGCAGCATTGCGCTGGCGGTCACAGCATAGCGATAGCGGTCACAGCATATAGCGATAGCGGTCACAGCATATAGCGATAGCGGTCACAGCATATAGCGATAGCGGTCACAGCATAGCGATAGCGGTCACAGCATAGCGATAGCGGTCACAGCATAGCGATAGCGGTCACAGAATAGAGTAGTCACGACGTCCGTCCCCTCCAAACCAGGCTTCGAAAACTCCATCAACACGCAGCCTTTTTGGGGATTGTGCGCGCTCATCGCAGGAGCCTTTCCGATCCGAAGGCCGCACCGGGACCTAGGGCGCCAAACCTCCCTTCATAAAATACTCAACTTCCTGTTTCTCGTCTCTCCAAATTGAAATGCAGCCCGCGAAAATTCAATTTGGTAGACGTTAACCAAATTTACCCCCTCCAGGCCGGCTCGCATCCCCAGCCTATTGCTCAGCAGACGCCCCCTTCCAATCATCTGTACCGACTCGCAGCCGCATAAAAACGGAGCAACTCCCACTACCGGCCTCCTGAAGCCTCGCAACCACCGCCTCCCCTCCTCCTCCTCTTCACCCTGCCTCCAATCTGCCTTCAATTTCTTCCCCGCTGCCAAATGCCGCCACCAGTGCCTAGGTCCCGGGGGATTGTGCGCGCTCATCGCAGGAGCCTTTCCGATCCGAAGGCCGCACCGGGACCTAGGGCGCCAAACCTCCCTTCATAAAATACTCAACTTCCTGTTTCTCGTCTCTCCAAATTGAATTGGCTGAATGAGGGTGTCCTCTCTTTAACACTTAAACACAAATAACTGGTTTGATGGATTACTATATCTGTGAAAACCAGACTCCTCACTGGTTTTAACAGAAGGGAGCACATCACCCCTGTTTTAGCGTCCCTCCACTGGCTCCCGGTGCGTTTTATAATTGATTTTAAGATTTTACTGAATACTTTTAAAGCTCGTTTAGGTCTGGCACCCGGCTATATTTACGTACTTTTAACCCCCTACGAGCTCCCCCGCAGCCTTAGATCCTCGGGCGGGTCCCTGTTGACCGTTCCAAGGTCGAGGCTCCGGACGAAAGGTGACCGAACCTTCTCTGTCCGGGCTCCTCGGCTTTGGAACGACCTGCCCGAGGAGATAAGGCTCGCACCATCAGTATCCTTTTTTAAATCACTTCTTAAACCCCACTTTTATCAAACAGCTTTAAACGATTAGATTTAAACTTCCCATTTTGTATTTTCCTGTCTGCTTTGCCTTTGTTGTATCTCTCTTCTTGTGTCTATTGTATCTAATTATTTTGACTTTGTATTATGACTGTTTAATTGTTTAACATGCTGACTGTGCAGCGCTTTCTACTGTAAACATTGTTTTTTTTAAAGTGCTATACAAATAAAGATTATTATTATTATTATTACCATCATATTATAACACATCATTACTGCTTTTACATTGTTAGATTTATTTTAGGTTTGAAAGTAAGGTACCTCAGCTTTAAATGAATGCCCATTGTTTAAACTTGACAGCTTTTGAGTGTAGTAGTTCCTGATCAGCCCCAACACCCAGACAAGTGTTGGATATTAGACCAAATTCTAAAAGTTAGAAGAAGAATGGATGTAGTCTATTATGAATGAATGTTTGAAAATTAATTTGACCCTGGGTTTTATTCACGCCCACACTAACCACAACAGCTGTCTTTCCATTAAGTTATTTTGTACATTTTTCATCTGGACCTGCCTGAATGTTTTTCTTAGTTTCATGTTAGAAAATTCAGGCCATGACCCTCCAAGATTATGAATGTTTAATACAACAGCTTCTGGCCATCTCTTTCTTCTCGCATCGAGGCCAAAACGTTGGTCATACTATGAATCACTTAAACATAGTTAAAATGAATGTATTTTAGATTTGAGCCCTGTATCCCCCTCACTAACCCCAACCCTCGCAGACATTGGGCTACGACTTTTGTCAACCTTGCATATTTGGAGTTTGGATAGACTTACAGTATAAATTGTCTTCTTTTATGCAATTCTTGATGATTTATACAGATTGTGTTATGCGCGGGACCTGTGTGTGTATGTTTATCATTGACTTTCTTTTGGAGCCTCGCTTTTGTGTCCCATGTGAAGTAGTAATTAAAGATGGTCTCTACAACAATTTCACACTCTTTCAGTCTTCCAGCTTGGATCCCTCTCCCCCCGCCTCCCTCTGATCTCTCCCTCCCCTCCCCTCCTCACTGTGTTTCCGACTTACCCCCTCCCTGACCCCGCCCCCCTCTGACAGCCACATTGGGCCGGCTGCGGAGGTGCTCATCCCGAGAAAAAAAATCCGTGGTTTATACAAAGCACAATGTTTTCTATCCAACTGTCTGTTGTAACCTGTATGTTATTGCTCTCTGCTGTTTATTCTACTGTTTGTCGCATGGCGCCGGAAAAATGGCGCCGTGGCAAGAGCTCTGGTGTGTGTCGTCTCTGTCTGGCGCACACCGGGGTAGTCTTGCACAGTTTTTCCAATGTGGTTTTACTGCAAATGGCAAATAAATGAATCTGAATCTGAAGAAAGAAAAAAAAAACAACAACAACAACGTATGTACAAAAGACACAAAAGTATAAATAAGATAACACTAATAAACAGGGTAAACTAGGGTAAAGGCCCCCTGGTCTCTGTTGATGGTCTATGCTTCCTGATTGTTTTTATGTGTGTGGGAGTGTGTGTTTATTATGTGGGAATGTGGGGGTTGGAGCCCAACAAGCATCTCCGACGTTCTAACTAATGGGCCAAAAATTGGGCTTTCATGGAGTGATTCAAAATCGCCGCGGGGGCTGGAAAATGTGAAATAATGCATCTGCGTCAGCCGGCACGAGCCCCATTCATTTAACGAGTGCCTTCAAAAATTCACAGCGACTAAACTAGACTGGTTCAAAAAAATTCAGCATTGACACACATGTGGAACCGAGCTTTGTAAAGATGTTTTTGAGAGGTAAGCGGATGCTATATGTTAGCAATGGCTAATTATTATTCCGGGTCCACGCCCATCGGCCCGGGGTGGTATTGCAAGCACGTCAGCGCACGTTATTTTGGCCACTTTTGAGCCGGGACCCGCCCCCACTGGTCCAACCCTTTTTCAAACTGTTTTTTTAAAAATTGAATGTCTGTATCTTGATTGTTTTGTTTTGTCGTAGGAAAATATAAGTCTGAAATAAACACTTTCAACAGCTTCCCGTATATGCCATGTTTGTGTTTTATGAGGCTAATGTTTACTGTGCATTGTCCTACATTGAGAGTCTTCTAATAAGTGAGGGAATACATATGACGTGAAAAAGGATTGAGGGCAAACAACCTGGATTGTAAAACTGTTTTGCCAAAATTCAGGCTGCTTTGCGATTTATAAATAGCTTTGATGGAGCTGAAGTTTTCTGAATGACAAAAAACCATTTCACCAGCACCATTAACAAAATTTTGTGACTTTCAAAAACAAATGTCAGTATAAACAAACAGATGGTAATGGCTGAATTCCAGAGGTTCTGATCTTTACATGCCCATATTGACTGAGCTGAAGTTGGCTGGATGACAACTTTATGACAATGACGTATAATCTTAAAGTGGTTCTCACCCCCGCTCCTCAGAGCTTACGTCACTCACATTTCCTGTTCAAATCTTCCTCTAAATGGGCGTAGCCTGGAGGACTAAAGGGGGCGTGAACGAGACTGGGCCGTTTACATTGCTCTGGGCGGGGGGCTGCTGACGTCAGGTCTTGCTTCAGACGTCAGGTCTTGCTGCCGCGCCAGTGTTGGCGCCAGATTCAAAATTAAAATGTAGTAATACAGGTCGCCAGCAGATGGCGCCTCACAGGCGGTTTTAGGCAGAAAGTTTAACTTTCAACTAATTTGCACCAAAGTGACAAAATTATGACCAGGATATGTAGACACTATTGGACACTCATTTATACCGTTTATCAGCAAAAAAAAGTGGATTTGAGGGTGAGTTGTCCTTTAAAGACTATCTTGTGTTAGACATTTATTTTTTGTGTCTTAACCCTTGATTCTCTGATCTGTGTTGGTGAATTCCATGGTTTTGTTAAGTCTTCTGAGTAGGGCTGCACGATATTGGAAATTAGTGCGATATGAGTGTTCAGTATTGCGATAACGATATTATTCCAATATTTTTGTCTTTCACCTAAAATTGCAATCTGCATTGAAACGCAAATAACAAAAATAAGCACAACATTAATGAGTTTCTTCTCATGAATATTTAATGTGGATTCACACCCAGGCTGTGTAAGGGCTGTTTGACCAATAAGAAGAGTGGTGGGTGCTGGGCCAGATGACCTGGCCTCCACAGTCACCGGACCTGAACCCAATCGAGATAGTTTTGGGGTGAGCTGGATCACAGAGTGAAGGAGAAAGGGCCAACAAGTGCTAAGCATCTCTGGGAACTCCTTCAAGACTGTTGAAGACCATTTCAGGTCCTCTTGAAGCTTATCAAGAGAATGCCAAGAGTGAAGCGTAATCAGAGCAAAAGGTGCTACTTTGAAGAACCTAGAATATAAGACATATTTTCACTTGTTTCATACTTTTCTAGTACGTACATAATTCTACATGAGTTAACTCATAGTTTAGATGCCTTCAGTGTGAATCTACAATTTTCATAGTCATAAAAATATAAAATATATATCAAAAAAGTATTTTTGATATGGATATCGCACGCACCAATATTGCGATAACAATAATTTTTTTGATTTATCATGCAGCCCTACCTCTGAGATGACTGCTGTTGTTATATAGAGCTATACAAGAATAAATTGTATTGTATTGTAAAGAGGGCTAAATAAAACTACACAGAGGGCTGCAATTGATCCATGAGCCTTAGTTTGGACATGCTTGGTCTATAGGGAATAGTGTAGAAAAATGATGACAGCCTATATATACGATTCTGTCCCGCTAAAACAAAGTCACTGATTTATAGAGAAAAAAGTAAATATGTCACACTCACTTTATCAAAGCAGAGGTGAAGCTGGGACTCACCTTTGTAAAGTGTGATTTCTGCCTCCGGCTTGGCATCTGGGGCGACACAGGTGACCGAGTACTTCCTGCCCGCCTCCCAGTGCTGCGGCCAGTCCGGCTCAAAGTGCGGCTCCGCGGGGGGGACTGCATCAGAGGCACAACAGCGCACATTTGAACATTCCACAACCGTGGCGTGGCATTATTCATCACATTCAATTTGGGCTGAAATATGCAGCCGCCATCACTGGAGATGGGCTGTCACGCTGTCAAGCTCGGGAGTGATTTACTACAGTTAGCTTTGCTGTTGTGTCAAGTTAGAATACAAATTGTGGACATGACGACCGAACGGCGTTGAAATAGTGAAGCCGAACCAACGCTGATCTATCATAACAAACAACAAGTCCCGCTCTCTTCAAATCAGCCCCAAGCTAAATACTGCATCTGCTTTTTCTACTGATCAAAGCACTCTGTTCTATTCTGCAAGCCTTTTATCTGACCATAAATAGGAATTCCAGCAAGAGGAAAAAGCTTTTAGCACGAGGGACTAAAACTATTTGGCAGAAAATTAGAAAATCTGTCAATGGTTAGTCATCAAAGAGCTGTCTTTGGATGTGAAAGCTTCCCTTTAATAAGATGAGAAGGTCAATACTGTTTGTATCACAAAAGCAGGGTATTTGTTCTGTTGCAGCTTTTAGCAAGTGGGAGATCAGACAGACTGCTCACTGTTCGGTTTGTTTTAAAAAATTATCTGAATTCAAGGTTGGAGACGGAGAGTCAGGCACAAAGGGAGAGGAAGGCACAGAAGGGACAGTGATGATGGACTAAGCAGAGGAGTTCAGAGACTCTACTCCTGCAAAAGTCTAATCTGCAGGGCCACGCAGAGCCAAACTGGCTACTGCAATATATGGGGTATTTTCCAATTCAGTCAAAGGAACCACCATCTCTTCTTGTGTTCACACAGCAAAAAGTGGTTCAAACTGGATTTAAAGAAATATTAAGCGTTTTTGCTGGTCGTTAAAACTGATGATGAGACTATTTAAAGTAGCAATATGCAAGATATTCATGTCATCATTAAATGGCCCTAATATGTAAAAAGGTATTAATAAAACATGGTCTTTTCCAATACCTCTTTAACTGATAACAGTAGTTCAGCCGAGATATTCAAATTTCAAGATTTGTTTTACAGCCCCTAAATCTTGTAATTGTTTTCATTTTGATGTCCCGCCCTCCACTGTTTTTCCAATCAGAAAGTCCGTGATCCGGGATGCCAGAACTCACAGCCTCGAGCTAATCTCACTGGTAAAATAACATGTGGCCGAAGAACTTAAAAAGGTCTTGTAATGATTCTAAGAAAATAAGTAAGTAAGTAATCTCTATTTATATACCGCCTTTCACAGACCAGAGACACAAAGCGGTTCACATTTGTGGGCATTTGTCCTCTCACTCCACACAGAGATGGGAGCGGGGTCGCACGTACAGGCGGCGCATGCCAGACCTATTGTACATGTTTTTAGTGGTACTGGAAACCCGAGTACCCGGAGGAAACATACGCAGACACGGGGAGAACATGCAAACTCCACTCAGAAAGACCCTGTTTCAACCAGGATTCGAACCCAAGACCTTCTTGCTGAGAAGCCAGAGTGCTATCCACTCAGCCACTGTGCCGCACAAGTGACAAAACGAGGAAAAAAACTATTGGGGATTTCTATCGGGCCTAGGAGAAAAGGGTGTTGGTTTTAGATTTGTTGTTGACAAAACTCTCGTCTATTCAGATTTCTTGGTCCCAGCTGGTTTCATCTAACCTTGCCTTCAATCTGAAATCTCGCGGTATTTGTGAGTTCATAAACACAAGAGAATAAGACCAGAATGATTGACAATTAAAGGACCAATAGACTTGATGATCCACCCGGAAGTAGACAATCCTCCTGTATACCTTTAAGTCAACCCGTGCTCGGCGTGCAAACAGCGCCAATTCGCCCAATCAGCTTGAAGTATTCTGCCGCGTGCCCCTCCTTTTTCCCGAAAAGATTCTTCTGCATCAGTACCTGATTGATATTGTGGGGAACTCATTTGAGTCCTTCACGATCATCAATCTTCCTTTTGCCATGGGTTAGGATTCGTCTGCATATCTGTAAACCTGAGTCAGGGAGAGTGGGAGAGGTTGCAATACCACTTTTGGCCAGATTTTTACATACTGCTTCTTAAAATGTAATGTTTTAGGATGTGAACTAAACATCCTAAACAATTAACTTAAATAAACAATATATGTTAAAACAAGTATATAGACTTTAAAAAATGCTGTTCACCTGTAACTCACCATGCTACCACCAGAACGTGGAAAGAAAAATAGACAGAAAAAGACGATTTAGCATAGGATGTCTCATTTTACATATACTATTAGTTTGGGCCTCAAACTTTGGGGGCTTGAAAATAAACAAATTATTGCCAATAAACTTTGAAAAATAGAAATTATATGGATAGGATTTGGTCAAATAGATACTTCATTTTTAATATTCATTATGGAGTTTGGGCATCTGTATCTAGAAAACGCTCAGATGGTGATCCAATCCCAAATGATATCCTTTGAGTCATGTTACTGACAGACAAACAGACAGACAAACCATCCATCCATTTTCTACCCCTTAATCCATTTCTGGGTCAGGGGGGTGGCAGTCAGAGATGCCACCCAAGTCTCATAGCACCAGCCCCTCACTGACCCTCTGCAGGTGGTGAGTCCACAGGAGGACGGCTGCTCTTTAAGTGTGAGCTAGCCTTGATCTATCAGCGGGGGCTTTGGGCAAAGTGGGGTTAAGTGTCTTGCCCAAGGACACAACGGCAGCAGACATCAGTGGGAGACAAACCAACCCTGGTGAAAACATTCGCCCCTGGTGGAGGTACTTAAATCAGGTGTCATCAAAATATTCCTGGTCTAAAGTGAGAAGCACCAGTGCCATCCGCAGAGCAGGAGGCAAAAAGTCTCCATAGGCTGACCATGATCTACAGTGTCTATATCTGTGGGAACAAGAACAAAGAAAGACCCGTTTCTTAGTTCAAAAGTTTGGTCACAAGTTTCTGATCCTGGTACTGTAACACTTCCTGATCCCATTTGTTTATGTGTAATTGGAGTCAGATCCAAAACTTTTGTTGACTTTGTACAAATAATTTAAGAGCAAACATGTCTTTTGAATTTAAAAGGAAAAAATAAGATCTAGGGCACGTGTCTATTTAAAATATTAGGTGTATCTCTTTGTGTTATAAAGTAGTAACTAATGCACAATATAATTTGATTAAAACATGTTTTGCCAATGGGACTAGAAATACAACAACAATCAAGGGCAGCAGCAATCTTTCTTTCATTCCAAAGAATAATTACTTGTCTCATATGCAAATCATTTATCAAGTCAAAAATAACTGAAATCTGAATTCAAACTATACTTACTATACTTGTCATTGCAGTCCTGGTCCTGCAACCCCCCCATGTGTGCTCCACCCTGGCCACTAGGAGGAGCTGTTGCAGTGCACAGTGTCGCTCCCTATGTCTGCTATTGAGACGGATGAGATGTGGCTGCAGCTTCAAACTGATTTAAAAGAAGCAATTGGCGGTGTGTGGACGGTGATGGCTTACCCCGCGCCCGCAAAGGAGCCCGCTGCAATAATGAGATGCATTTGTTTGTGTGTATATGCCTCACCCCTCCCTCCCCTCCCCTCTCCTCCCCCCTTGACACGGGGAAGATGACTGGGCCGAGCATCCATGGACAGTCTCTCTCAATCTACTCCACACAAGCGCATCACTGGGAGCAGCAGCTAACAAATGGTAAAGAATAAATGATAGTGTGTGTTTGTAAATGAGACAGGCCGGTTCTGGATCTATACTGCGCTTCCTTATAGACACTCTTTGGCATTTGCATATCGTTATTTACCGTGGGCACTTTTATACAGCTATGGAACTGCTATAAAATACAAAGTTGTATGCTTTTCTTTGACTAAATCTTTCTGCAAACATGAGAGAGCATGGACTACAGAGAAAATTAGCTGAAGATATATATATATATATATATATAAATATATAAATAGAACCCTCAAGCTCCCAGGCCTAGAGGACCCGAGCTTAGAGAGGGATAACCGGTGAATGGACAATTATTTTATATATATATATATATATATATATACTGTGTAATATTATATATGTGTCTACTTAAACAATTCATCCGAGTATCTGCACTTAACTTTACTACTTTGACATTCAAAATCTGTACTTTCTTCATTCAATAAGGACTAGTTTCTTTACACACATCAACAAAACAGGTCTGAAGTGGTAAGCATGGCTTCCATGTGAATTAATTTATTGTGGCTAGCTTCTAAACTCATAACTATTCAGTTTAGGTTGTAGATTGTCATTCTCTGCCAGTACATTGAGCTGTTTGATTAATAATACGCAAACACATTTGCATTTCACCGTGTAGTCATTATAGGATTATCTGAGCAATGCACCTCTTCTCAGCATTAATTAATTTAATTCCATGAATCAAAAAACCATCGATCAATTACTAAATTTAAACTTAGTAGTAAACTAAACTACTAATAATTAACTTTTTTAATAATAATAATATTATTAAAGCACCGGTTTTATATTATTTTGGACACTCAAAGACACTTCACATGTCATAATTCATTCACTTCATACACAGTGGTCAGTAGCCTCAGCTGCCCTGGGGCACACTGTCAGAAGCACACTAACAGCCACAGCTGCCCCACTGTGGCACCTGTGTTACCAGAGGTCTCCCATCACAACACTAACTCAGCCCTGCCACCAAAGCTTTAAAGCTCTGTTGGGATCTGGCTTTCACATGCAGCTATGGCAACAATTTTAATATCAGTAACCTGCTAATGGAGTAACTTGTTCAGTGCAATGAGGCAGATTGACACAAGAGCAAGAACGAACATTGACTTTATATAATAATATATATCGTCTCTTCTTAATAATAAAGATATGTAACTTGTGGGGGAAGTGGGTTTGTGCTCTTCGTGGCGCTGAGAACACATGCACACTATTCCTTAATGAACTCTTCCTCTGCTGCTCTTATCTCCTGCCTGTCTCACCTGCCTTTGACAAGCTCTCAGCCTCTCTGCTTTGAGCGGCTAAG